GTTTACTAACATATGGCTTGTGCATTCATAATGTGATCCGTACATGTTTTAGACATGCTTCTTCTCTGGATTTTTTTCCCGAGCCCTTGACACTCAGCTATGGTAATTGCAGTCGTTTGCGCTCTTCTGCATTGTTCTTGGAGAGGATGGATGAGGCGACGTGTGGGTGGCTGTGGAGGGTGAGGGGAGGCAAGGACAGCGAGCAAACAGCACAGCTGAGTACATGTGAAGCACAATGGGCGGTGAGTCAGAGGGAAAAGAAGAGAGAGGAAAGAGAGAAAGAGATAGGTGTGCCACGAAAAGGTCAATGTGGAGGATTGAACAGAAATAAATAACAAATGCCAGAAGACGAGAAAAGCTCAGGAATGTTGTGCTCATCTCTCTGTTTCATGGCTTCAATATTAATATCTGGCAAAACTCTGGCAGGTGACTCATGATGAACAGAAGCGAGAGAGTGGGGGTGCTCAACCCAGGCTTAACATGAAAACGTATTAAATTATGTACAGTAAGGAATTTCTCCTGCTAGAATGCATTTATTTGTATGTCCCAATGACTTTTCTTTTGCCACATCATGATCTGTAGGAGAAATTATCTGATCCCTGTGCTCATGACTACCAGGACTATATACACAATGATTTTATTCACAATTGTGACAGAATTATATGCTACACTGCTTTGCACACCCAGCAGGACAACAGTCATCCAAGCTGTTCATCAGCTCAGACTTCAAAATCTTTCTAACATCTTCTGTGTGTCAGTTCACATCCCACGTTATCTAATACTGATTTAATTATGTTGATCAGATGAGCAAATTCTGGCTTTCCCATGTCAGAGCTGGCGACAACCCCATCCAGATCTGATGGTCACACATTGGCTTTTCGCAGGAGCTTTAATCATGTATTCACATTAATGCTTTGATTACAATCCTTTTTACAAATTCTGTAGTCTGAGTGCAAATATAATAAGTTTATAGATATCAAACTCTGAGATTTCTGCCTCCAAAATAATAAAAAAGGGATGAATTAGATTTTATTTGTGGAGCTCGCAGCAGTGGAAAGTTTGGCTTAAATGTCAACAGAAAAAGAGAGACCGTTTCAGAGACAGTGTCCATTTTACTCGGTGGCTTTTGTTGTGGATAATTTTCACTGCAACATGTTACTACTCAAAGAAATGGCTCGTATGCAAATGTTTTACGATGTGTTTTTAATGTACTTGTTCTTCACAGTTTCCGACTGTTAGAGAGAAAATGGATTGTCTCCTGCCTTTAACATGTGCCGACCCGTCCTTGGGTGTAGGAGCCTTGGATGCAGCTGTGGGCCCTGATACATACTTGGATGGCTTGTCTTCCATTAACCTTGATCAACTGACTTCTACAATTTCCAGGTCCAAATCATCTACCTGTTTCGTGGATCCGATTTCGACTCGGCTGCTTAAGAAGCTTTTTCCTTTAATTAGTATGTCTTTACTGGATATTACGTATATGTCTGTTGACGAGACATGTACCGCAGTCCTTCAAGGTAGCTGTAATTAAACCTCTTCTTAAAAAAAAACTATTCTTGCTCCAGAGGTGTTGGTAAACTACCGCTAATCTCCTCTTCCTCTATAAGATCCTGGAGGAAATACAAACACAAATCAGTTGTGTGAGTTTCTACATAACAATGGACAAAGGACTCGTCTCTGTTCTTGTCTTGCTGGACCTCAGCTGCCATGTCTGACACCATTAACCATTGTATCCTGTTGCAGAGACTAGAGACATCAGGACCACAGAGAGCCTTTACATCTTCCGTCTAAAGACACACTTCTTTAGATTATACCTGCAATGTAATTGGTATTAAAAATCTGCACTCTGGCTTGTTCAAGTCGTATTTTTCGGATCGATCCCAGTTTGTGCAGTTTGTTCATCAAGCGGTGAATCCTTGATGACTCCAAAGTTGGTCACGGAGTCCCACAAGGTTCTGAGCGTGAGCGATTTTATTTACGCTCTGTATGCTTCCTTCAGGCAATGTTATTAGAAAACACTGCATAAACGTCTGTTGTTATGCAGATGACACTCGATTGTATCTGTCGATCAAGCCAGATGAGACCGACCAGCTCGTTAGACTTCAGGAATGTCTTGGATGACCAGCAATTTTCTGATGTTAAACTCAGACAAAACAGATGTTGATAGGACCAGAGGGCCTTTGAAGTCAGCCGTCTTGTGATCTCTGGTGATCTGGTATCCAGGAGAGGGATCCCTCCTCTGCCGTTCCCCCCAAGGTCTGATGCAAATTAGTGATTTACGATTCTTGGCTATATAAAATAAAATGAATTGAATGGAATTGAATTGAATTGTTTTGTATGTTACTGGTCTTCCCTCTAAGAATTTGCATACTGCAAACACAAGCAGAGAATACTCAAACCAAAACTGGTTAAACCGCCCTGACCACTTTCAGTTTAACTTTCGCTTTCCTACCAGCTCGTCTCCCAAACAAACAGTTGCTTAAAAAAAAAGGAATCCACAACTGTGAAAATTATGCAATTAAAGCAATAAATACATATCGCCACAATAATCCACAAACAACGCATTCAACAAGACATTTGCCATTTTTAATCAAATCAATTTCATTTTTTATTCCTTAAAACTGGATTGGGAATTTTCTCCACAGACTTCCACTTCAGTCAGAAACAGAATTGGAGAATTCTTGATCATATTCATTTGCTTGTGTGGACAGGCTGGCCCATTTCACTACTTTTATCACAGTTCAATTTTTGTTCAGTTTAACTTTACTGCTCCAAATTGTCTCTGACACTGTACAATCCTATAAAGGCAGACAGACACAGGCAGACAAGCTCTTGCCTTAACAGTCTCTGATGTGTGAAGGAATAAAGACAGCTATGTGGAGAGGCGGAGGTGTAATGTCAGTCTGTAAGAACTGAGTGAGCCTCTGTAGCTTCTTTGAATGTTCCATTGGTGAAGATACCAACGCTTGCTCCTTTTATTCGGACTTTTTTTTTTACCCCATTGTACCACTTTACCGATCCGCAAAGAGACAGTTTGTGTTTTAACCCCCTAACAGAGTCATGGTTAAAAGATTGTGGAAATTCACCGTCCCACTCGGTAACCTTTCATCAGGGAGGATGTTCGCTGGCTCGGGGGACTTTTGGGCCTTCCATTCAGAAGTGTCATGTCCGACGGCAAAATGAACCAAAACAACAAGAGGAAACATATACCTCTGTCAAACAATACAACTAGAGAGGCTGCTGCACTTCCTCTACAGAACATGATGAGGACAGTCACACCACACTGGGTCTATGACGAACGCTAGCATGGAAATATATTTGTAGTTATTAACGATAATAGTTTTGATAAATAGACTCATTTAAATTGATCCTGATTAAGGCAGCGAGGATAATGTTTCTGGTGATGACATTAATATTGTTTTGGATTTATGGGGGAGAAATTTGGCAATTTTGCAAATAATAAACATAAATTACATCAATAAATATGTTTATAAGTTGTTAGATTTTTTAAAGACATAATGATGATACACATGAATCAGTTTGTTCTTGACCTGCGTGGACTCTTGATTAATATTTAGCTTTTACTGCCTCTACACATATTATCTCTTCAGCACAGATCTAAAACTTGACTCTACTGATTCACAAATGTTTGTTGAAATTGAGAATCGATGTCATGGTCTGTCACCTAAATGCAACCTGAGAGCAACACTTGCAACCATTTATAAATCATTTGCGCTTAACTGAAACATGTAACCCGATTTGTAGAATGACATTCGACCCCTTGTCGTGGTAAATATGACGGTGGTGCCCCCTAGCGGTCAAATGGGTGAAATACTGGTTCACAAGAGCCGCGCGGTGAGGCTCCTTCCGTAGAACAGAGCCAACAATAAAAGACAAGATAAGACATTTGTCAGCCTGATCAGGTATTTACAGTCAGCCACTCGTTAGAAAAAGTCAACATCTACCTGTAAATTTCTTCAATTAATCTTTGTTTTTGTGTTTTAGAAATGATAGAGGGTGAGAGGGAAGAGTTTTGTCTTAGAAGATATTGATTTGTTGGTGATGCAAATTACCACAGCCTCAAGTTGCACGACAGGGAGTTGTTTTTTTAGTGGGAAGGAAGAACTATAAATCCTTCCAGATCATCGTCATTTACTCATTAAGACACGACGAGACAAGCCATAAATCTGAATATTTTTGGGAATACTATGGCCGTTTGTCATGTGTGTAAAAATGAGGAAATACGATGATTTCCCGACTCTGCCCTCATCCCTGCTGACTTCCCGTGCACTCACACCTTGCCTGTATGTTGGGACATGTTTGTGTAATAAACGAATACATAAGTGCTTTTTATTACGTCACAATTTGTGACCGCCGGTCTGTTGCAAATACGCCACTAAACACACGAGGGCGTAAAACCGCAACAGTTGAATGTAACATCCCAATGTAAATGCCAATAAAAAGGGTGTTAATAAGTATGTTTTTTATCTCGCAGAACTGTGGTGAGCTATAAACATCCTGTAGCTGCAACCTAACGGCATCTGATGATATATTTAGACGATCATTGTCTTAAATAAAGCAGTTTAGGCCTAATGCCACTAAATATAAAAACCTAAAATGAATATAAAAAATGAAATGAATGATATATAATTGTCAATATTAACCACGGGCTTCAGGAAAACCAATTCAAATAGTAGCAATATTATTTAAAAAAACAAAAAAACAAACCAAACACATTTTATATAAAATAAAAATAGAACATAACATTAATGTTATATTTTATCTGGTAGATGATATCTGGTTTGATATCTGGATGAATGTATACAAGAATATTGCAAACTCATTTTTCTAACACTCCCGAACAACAATACCCGGCCTCTTCAAGGGACACGGGAGGGATTTTTCGGCAAGGGGGATTTTTTTTTCTGCGCCCCTCTCAGTGGGGGTCCCCAATTCGGCCGCTCCCCCCCCCCCCCCTCCCCCCTCTCCTCCCTCCCTCCTCCCTCCTCCGGCGCAGCTCAGTGAGCGCAGCGCTTCACACGCGCCCACCAGTTTGCCGGTCGTCCTAAAACTTCACTGTGGCGTTTGCGGCTTCAACTTGGGTTCGTCAAAACTTCGTGCGGTCTCGACATCATGCTGGATTGAGCCCGCGGAACGTCGCTGCTCGGCCGGAGGAGGTGTGAAGTGCCTCCGCTCAGGTTCAAAGATCCCATCATGCAGCAGATCCGCTGATTAGAGGTAAGAGCGACTCTTGGTTGAACCGCAGCACATCGGACAGTGAACGGAACGATAAGTGGGGAAGAAGTGGGGATGTTTTACACCGCAACAGACACATGTGACATAAGTGTTTGGAGTTTAAGTGATGAAGGCGATAAAAAAAAAAAAAAACAATAGAAAAAAATACTCTCTCGACTCACTTTTGGCAATTGTTTGTCCCTTTTTTGGGGAATATTATAGTGATTGCTCACAGCTAACAATACCCTGCCGGCTTTGTGCTGGTAATAAGGCCATTCCACCACAGTGAACATCTACTAAAGGATTTGCAGCTGTCCTCAGCGGCCCGGCTTCTGTTTTTCACAGTTTTTTTCTCCCTCCGCTCATGGGTTGAGGTTTGGCTCCCAGTATCTGCACTGCTTTCCTGTTAATGAGTAAACTGACTCTTGGCTCCTCTTCATTTTGTTTGCACTTTAGGGGGTGAGATCCGTTTCCTACAGGACTGCAGTGTTTGCACAGTGACCCGAAGGCCAGCGAAGAGGTCACAGATGATCCGGGCACCATGGATATCGGCAACGATGTGGATCTCTCCAACAAAAACATCACCCCGCTGTGGAGACCCCGAGGGGACATTCGTCAAAACCACCACGACTCAAGCAAACCAAAACCCCGACCCCTCAGCTGCCACACGAATGGGGTCATGACGACGGACTTCCCCGTGGAGGACAACAAGTGCTCCTTCACCCTGAGCCAACCCGCCGAGAGGCTGGTGGTCGCCGCCCCGAGACGGGGCGAGAACACTGTGGTGCTGAAGCACGTTCTGCACAAACCCTCGAGGAAATCCCGCGTCGTCCGAAGCATCAGCATCGGCCACCTCTCCCACGGACTCTTCTCGCTGGCCAAATTTCGGTCTGAGGATAGAGCCGCTACACTGGACAATAGAGTGTGTAACGGAGATGGGCAGGAAACCAGTAACAGGGGGCCAGCGTGGCAGGAAAAGGACCGCCAGAAACGCTCCTCCAACATCTTCAGCATGGGCTCGCGGAGAGAGCAGAAAGCATTCGGGACGAGTTCCCGCTCGTCTGTTGTCAATGCGTCTCCCGTCCTCTCTCAACGCACGCCCAACAACAACAACAACAACTACAACTCCCGAGAACTCTCCTCCCTTTCCTACGCATCCAGCCCCTCTCCTCCCGCCCGGCGCACCCCCACGCCCTCACACAGCTCCACTTCCAGCATCCCCTCCCTCTCCTCCCTCACCTCCTCGGACCCCCCGACCCCGCGCTCCCCGTCGCCAGCCGACAGAGGACGAGAGGACAGAGGGCGGGCGCCCTTTAGGCCGCCCCCGCTCTCGCCGGCCTCCTCGCAGGACGCCAGGCACGCGTCTTCCTCTTCCTCCATCTCCTTCGCCTCGCTTTCTCCTTCGCTCTCCCCGTCGATCTCTCCCTCTCCCTCGCCCTCCGTCGTCCTCAGCACCCACAGCCCCGCTGCCCTGAAGATGGGCACGCAGCAGCTCATTCCCAAGGGTTTGGCGTCTGACGTTCGGCAAAGCAAGGCGCCTCCCCCCGAGCCCCAAGGCCAAGGCGTAACGGGCTCGCTGGGGTCGGATCCTTCAAAGCGGGCGTTAAAGGCCCTCAGCATGGTAGAGACAGGGACATACTTCTCTACGGGTGGGGGTCACTCCGAGGGGGCGGATGGGGAAACGGAGAGCCCCGGGACGCTGAAGAGGGGGCTGAGGAGTACTTCCTACAGGAGGGCAGTTGTGAGTGGAGTAGACATGGAGGTGCCGTCGGTAGACGCCAATCGGTTGTCCCAGTCCGTCATCCGGTGGTTGGATGAGGATAGGACGGATTCACCGTTCAGCCCAGCAAGTCCTGGAGCTACAAGCCACCAAAGCCCAGGTACCGCTGAGCCCGCCAGCCCCGGGACACCCAAACTGGCCGTCCACAAGGTTTCAAAGCCTGCTGGCCCTGGGAGTGAAAAGCCGACCAGCACGGGGATAAACAAGGTGGGTGGCCTCAAGAAATGAAACTATGTGGCTCTTAGATAAAAAAAAGAGTTTGATATCTCTCATGACAAAAACCTACTGTCTTTTCTTTTTTTTCGGTTTTGTTTTGCTGTGGTTTAGCTCTGCTCTCTCTGGGTATCAATATTTATAAAAATGCCACCTATAGCTGCTAATGTATATTTTAAATATAGATTGTCAAAATGCCAAAGGGACAAAGCATTTTCCAAAAGCAGTTTGACTTTCATCAAAAATCATTGTTGTAAATATGCAAAGTAAATGCCGGTTGCTGAGCTGTCAATGCACAGATGCAGCCATGTTGTCCTTTTTGTCAAAACTATTCGAGAACTCTTGACTCGGTAAATCATAATCCCTTGGATGGTTTTATGTTTGATTGCGCACAAAGATGGCATTTATGTGGACTTTAGTGTTGTCGGGTAGTAAAATTGTAAAATGACAGCACAGACTGAGTATTGTGGGACAAACTCAGCAGCAGGTCAGAGGAGGCCTTACAAGGAAACAATTAATTGGGTTGTTGGGGGACGTTACGTAATGTGACACCATGCCCACACACACACACACACACACACACACACTAACGCACACAATGGCTCTGTAATAAGACAGGAGTCAATGAAGGAGGTCAGCAGAAAGGGCACATGCAGGCCACAGACAGGTGACAGAGATACAGAGGCAGATTTCATTGAAACTTTGTCTATGTTCCCCCTCAGCCCCTCAACGTTTGTCCAAACTAATGACATTTATGTTCCTTTTTTCATTCAGAGTGCAGACAAGAAAAAGCTTTTAACCACTCAGCGGACGTTTGACAGTGAGGGTGAGCAAACTAATCTGTCTCCCCTTCCTTTTACCTCTTTAATGTATGCTTTTTTTTACCTCTCTGTTTTGTTTTTTAAACTTCAAGATGTCGTTTGTTTTTGTCATCAACAAATGTCTCTTGCAGAGGAAGAGCTGTACCAGAACTACCAAGAGAAGGCCTTACATAATGACTCGGACGAGGATGCCGATTCCAGAGAAGCCAAACCTGACAACGGCATCGTGGTGCAGTACAGACCCATCCGCACCTCCTGGAGCCAGCTCAGTGTGGTCAGACATCACACACACACACACACACCACCATTCTACTCGTATCAGTGTCGCTCGTTCTCTACATCCAGCATGGAGACGACCCCACGGCAATCACTCGTGGCTCTGGAGCCTTGGAATGTCAGTGCTCTGGAGAATGCTGTCATATCCAGTTTGGCCACGGTCCATACTCGTCCTCCCCCTGCAGCGGCCTTCCTCTGCCCCTCGCTCTGTTTATCAGGGGAACCCGGGAGCCTTCTCTTTTTTTTTTTTTTTTTTTTTTCGGACAGTCAACCAGACTCCAGAGACCCAAATGCCAGAGGCAAACTGCACACATTCGTCAGACCGCAAACAGGCTGAAAATGCTGCCTTACGTTACGCGGCGTAGTAAGGGATCGGAATGGACGGCTAGAGGAATACAGATGGGATCGATGGGCATATTTAGTTTAGCTACTTCGGCATTCCCATCTGTTTGTTTACTTGATGTGGAGGGAAAGAGTGTTAGTGAAACTAGGCGAGGGCGCAGGAAGAAGCCATTAGGAATGAACTCCGATCCAAATAGACGGGAGATTGGTTTATAGGTTTGAAGTCAAAAACATTCCCCAAATGTTTGCCGTTACTCTTGTTGTGTACACCAGTAACAAATTTGTCTGGCCAGATAGTACCGCATTCATGAGATGCTGACACGTCACTTTTATTTGCCCTGGTGTGTGCGTGTGTGAGCGTGTGTGAGCCTGTCACCTGTCGTCTTTTAGGGTTTGATGAAATGTCCCATACCTCTTTCATACAGTTCCAGGAATCCCCCACTCTAGTTTCAGAAGGTGGAGCTCCATTGGCGCCACCACATAATGTGATCGCTTATAAAATAATGAGACCTAATTGATTGATTGTTTTGAAGTCACACCCACAGAAACTGCAAAACAGTGCAAAGTTCAGCTGGCAAGACACCGTGCAGCGTTGCTCGCTCAGTAAGACCAGACGGCCTCTGATATCTGATTTTTTCTGATATGGTGCGGAAGGTTTGACAGAAGTGTAACTGATATATGTGCGAAAGGAGAACAAAGGTGGAACCACAAAAGATGTTTGTTCTGCTGTTGGAATGGGAAGCTAGTGGAAAGCCTCTTTGGATATATCTGCATATATGTGTGATCCGGTAGAGTAAAATGTCAATGTGCCACAGCTCATAGTGGCTGCATTGGGCGGAACAGGATATGAAGGCATGATTTTTACTCAGCCACAGGCTGAATACATCACCCCCCACCCAGTTCATTCCAAATGATTGCTTTGTTTAAATCGTATTCAAATATTCCTGGACCAAATCTCACCGGCCACATACTTGCTCCTTTATGCCGTCAAGATCTTCCTGTTTCCATTTCCTACAACAACTGTGTCTCCTACCGTACTGAGAATGGTATGCAAAGTGCTTCTGTCTTTGTTTGTGAGGACAACGGTGGCACACACACATGGCACGCACTCCTGGCACACACACCTCTGCTACAAATGCAAAGTGCCGCCGACCGGAGAACCAAACTAGTCCAACAAGGGTGACTCTGTATTCTTTTTTTTTTTCAGGTGAAGAGAAGTGGTCTTTCTGAACGGATGACTCAGGACGAACGCAAAAGACAAGAGGTGGGATTCATGTTTTACACTTTGACGCATGAGTTTAAGGTGAGAGAGATGTTGCGCTACTGGCATGCTAAATTGCTCAACATCTGGGACAGATGTATTTACCTGCATCTCCGTCATATCTAGAAAGACAAGACCAATGAGTATGAACATTGCATTCAGTGACAGATTGGTGTTCACATTGCTATGGAATTGTTCATGTGCACACCAACGTGATTTGTACATCACAGGTATGTCAAGCATGCTCATGACTCAGCTCACCTCATAAAGCAGAGTTTGAGTCAGAACCCAGTGGGGCAACCAAGCAAAGCCACTGGTGCCAGTAGCAAACCGACTGTCACCAAAATAAAACACTTTCTTGAACAAAAAGTCCTCTCTGTTTCCAACAGTCCATTTTTGAGGTGATCTCGTCCGAGCACTCGTACCTCCACAGTCTGGAGATCCTGATCCGCATGTTCAAGAACTCTGCAGATCTCAGCGAGGCCATGACCAAGACCGAACACCACCACCTCTTCTCCAACATCACCGACGTCTGTGAGGTCAGCAAAAAGTAAGTTCGCAGCTGCTTTGTAGCACAGAATTGTCATCCGATGGAATATTGCTTTACTTTGAGGTTATTTCTAGATGTGTCTGTTATTGGGGACTTCTAAGTGTTAGTTCTTTTATAATGGTTGGTTCTTTTAGGATGCTCTTACATGTTCCGAACTGTCAGTATTTAGCGTTTCTGGTTTTATTAATGAGTTGGATTATTTTCTTCTTTTTCACTTGTGTCTCTTTTTTTAACGAGGATATGAAAAAAATGACTTTCCAAGTTTACCCGTCCATCACAATTAGATATTCAAGGCCAATGTAACTATGAACTTAAAATGGTCCAATAAACTGAAACTCTAATGCACGAGGGGCCATGAAAGTCGACACCACTGAAAACTGCTGCCTCAGTTGTACGGCACTCCGTTATTTATACAAATGATTGACAGAAGACTTTGTGATCCCACATGTTCTGTTAGGCTTACGTCTAACAGTGCTTTTAACTGTACTATCATTTCTCCATAAGTATTTTAAGGGATTACCGTTTACTATGATAATAGCCTTAAGTGCAACTATAACATAACTGTTTAATGTGGAATTGTCGTGTCGCTCGGCCTAAAAGGCCGGGCAGATGTCACGTTCTCCGTGGCAGCAGTCTCTTATCATTCAACAAGCTTGCAATGTGGACTCACCATTCCATAATCAATCAAAGGTTTACAATCTTTTCACATTCCCGTTGCCACACGTCTACTCCAACTACTCAGGCAACAAGTGTTTACCACATTTTTGGGGTTATTCTAAAAAAAGAAAAACCCTGTGTCAACAATGTGGGTTAATAATTGTTAGCGTAGAATGAGGTTAAGCCAGCCTTAGTCTTTCTGTTGCTTAGGCCGTGAGTTTAGCCGCAGCATTCCCTGCCTCCCCTTGGCAACTGTTCATGACATTTGCTTTAGGATTCCATGTAAGGTTGGCAGCCCCCCTCCTCAAAGACTTCCCTCATGGCGCACAATATACCATGAAGGCAAAACAGCTGCTACAGATGATTCTACTCACTTTCTGCAGCCGGTTCAGTGTGTGTGGATTGGCATGAACATTCATACATCTATTACACCTAATTGCCGCTTTGCATAAACAGGGGGGACTGTAAATTTCTAAACAATTCCTCCCTGTGTCCAGACTCGCTGCTGTCCATCTCACTCCCTTTTCTCATTCCTGTACATAGACCCCCCCCCCCCTCCCACACACACATTAATGTGATACTTAACCCTCCCACCTAAATAAGGAGGCCTCCATGGCCCCAAGGAGTAGAGAAGAGGGCACGAAGAGAGACGGCAGCTCAAGTTTGCCAGAATCACCAATTAAAAAACAACCTTTGTTGTTAACAACATTTTAGCCTTTAAAAAAAGACGGCCGACCTACTGATGTGTGTTGCTGTTTGTATTTCACTTAAGACACACCTCATTCATTTATTCCATCCATAATTCTTGGCCAGCAGCCTCATTTTAAACGTTTGTATTGTTCTTGACCCTGATCTCCCTTGACCTCTTCCCTCATGACTGCATTCTGTTATGGGGTTGAATTTGAACGGCTTTGACCTGCTAAAGCCCTGAATACGCCTTTCAGCACACGGGCCAGAGGAGCGGGTAACTTGGGTTTGGTTTATGTTATCCTTTGCTCTCATGCCCTAGTTAGAAAGGTCATAGTGCAAAGAGTAAGAGGTCAGACAAGAACACTAGGCGGTTGTTTCCCATAGATAATCACAGTAGCACAGTGGGTGGAGTAGGTGGGGCGGGGGGGCACTAGAGGTGCTTTTGCAGAAGAGCTCGGTCGAACCGGTCAAGTTCAGCGTCCTGTGTTGTGCGACACCTTCCTGTTTGTCACCTTGGATCGCACGTGTAAAAACACTCATTCTCTTGAAGTTGGTCATGTGGCGTTCCCTAAAATGGGCCATCTGGCGGAGCTCAGGAAGAGGAAAGCCCTCTGTGTTATGGCTAATGGTAGGCTATGTCTATTTTCAGAGGCGGGGAGTTCCTCTTTTGTGATCTTTCAGCGGGTGCAGAGGAGTTATCTCTGCTTCCTGCCTTCCTGACTTTATATCTGTCATTGTGTCCCATATTCCCCCCCCCCCCCCCCCCCCCCCATGTGGGATGTCGCCATGTACGCGTTCAAACTCTCTGACTAAATAACTTATTCATCCCTCACTCAGGTTCTTCAAGGAGTTGGAGGAGAGACACCAACAGAACATTGTGATCAAGGACATCAGCGACATCGTGACAAGCGCGCTCAGTCCAACTTTTCCCCTGCGTCACATATTGCTCCAACGAGGTCTACCAGCAAAGAACCCTGCAGAGGCTGGTGTGAGTGGTCGAGCAACCGCGCAAACAACGTTCTTATATGTAACGGATTTGATGCAATGTGACTGTCCTGACGTTTTGTACCGGGGGGCGGTTTGGTCTCCCCCTCCGCTCGTTTTTCTTTTCCTCTTTGTTTCTCGGTATCGGTTACAACCTCCTGAACACCCAAACTTCCTTTCCGTCCTCTCTTGCAGGTCCAAGAATCCAGTTTTTAAGGAGGTGCTGACCAGGATAGAGAGCCACCCAGACTGCAGGAACCTCCCGATGATCTCCTTCCTCATCCTGCCCATGCAGAGGATCACTCGCCTCCCACTGCTCATGGATGTGAGTGCATTGAAGACATACAGTAGCATGAGCTTTTGAACAGTTTTTATTTATTCATACTACCCTGACTGATTCTGCATTGGGTGTGTTCTAACCTCAGATATGTTTTTGTGACCACATCATTCCACAATTATCTTAAAGAATTTACCCTTCTCCTCTTTCTTTTAATGTTTTTTTTTTCCTTCTTCTTCTTCAGTTTCATGCTTCCTTTGGCACCAACTTATTCTGTCCCTACTGTGCCTCTTTGTCCCCCTCCTTTGCTATACGTCCATAGCCCTCTCTCCCTTCCTCCTTCAGTGTCTCCCTACGGACTATGGGGTTTATGCTTGTACACTTAGAGGCTTTTGGATCCTGAGAAAGTTTGGTTTTAACGAATTGCTTCCCACAGTTCCCTTTCTCTGTTCATCAGAATTTTTTCCGGGTTTTGGTTGTGGTGTGCATGGTTGCAAATATTCTTCTGTCTATTTTTTTTTGCATTGCACGAATATTAAAAGGTTACAAGGGGACTTATTTGTCATTGTACGACAGGGTTACACAACGGAATTTACATTGAAGTCCCAATTTGTTACACTTCATATCTGAAGGGGAAGATGAATTAAAGGGTCTCAGAGCCAGAGGAAGAAAGCTGTTTTGAAGTCGACAGCTGACACTTTTTGTATCTCTTGGGAGGGGAAGGAGGTTGTGGCTGGCTGGTTTTGTCTTTTAATTTACTCAAAGCCCTTCACAGGCTCCTCTTCCCACCAGTGTCACCGATTCTCAGTAAATGGGTTCCAGTGAGGTTCTGGGCGGTTTTAGTGCCTTGCAAACCCTGTGCCAGTGTGTAATGTTTGCACTCAGGATACTTTTCATTGCCCTTCTATAAAAGGTGACAATTATTTTGTCTTAAATTTCCAATCAATACCAGGTTTTGGGTAGAAGTTGTTGGTGTACAGCGTGAACAGGAGAAGGTTGAGCGCACTAATACATTTGTGCGGATGGTCCAGTGTATTATGGTGGAGATGGTGGTGGGCAAACCCATCCAAGGCATTTTTTAAAATGTTCATAGGGAGGAATGTAAACAGCAGCTACAAGAGCACTGGTGAATTCTCTGGGCAGATAGTACGGCTTGCTTCTCGACCTAAGATATAAGCCAAGTCCGTTTAATGTCTCTCTTACTGCTTTTCCTGGGTTTTCTGATGGCACACGATTCTGCTGGGCTGCCTGAGATCCGATCTCAAGAGAAGCTGCACTTATTACAATCCTTGTACTTTACCTTTACCTGTTCTTTCCCTGTGCCAATGAGTTGTTTTGTCATACATACAGCAAAATCTGTGGGAGCTGCCGCATGCTCCACCATCACCAGCTATGTATTCTACTATAAAGGAGTGTAACTAACTTGAACCTTCACTATATGTTTTGCAGACAATTTGTCAGAAGACTCCAAAAGACTCTGCACAATACGAAGAGTGTAAGAAGGCTTTACAAGCAGTCAGCAAGGTGCGTGGGTTTAAAGGGTCGACCGCAAATATCAATCTGGATTTCTTGTTTGAATTTCTTCTAATCCACACTTTTCCACACATTTATACCTAACATTTGTCATAAGTTGCCATGGTGATGCTATGCCTCAGGGTGCTTGCCGTAGACAAAAGAGGCCTCACTTCAAAAAGCGAAAGGAATCTGTACGTATTTACGTATTTGATAAACTGTGTGTATGTGCAGGTGGTACGAAAGTGCAATGAGGGAGCTCGCACAATGGAGAGAACAGAGATGATGTACACCATCAACTCTCAGCTGGAGTTCAAGATCAAGGTATGCACACAAATTGTTACACCAAAATGTTGGAGCAGCCTCTATACAGAGCGCTGAGGCCCGTTGTGGCCACTGGAGAGAGGTGGGGTGGGGTGGGAGTTGGCGGGGGCCTTGAAGGGCAGATCTTGGACTCCGAGGCTTTAGGGCAGGGGGCATATACACGAGAGCATCCGAAACCAACTCCATCATGAGCGGATTGGACTCCTAAACAGCAGCGTCTTCCTCCTGGGCTCGCTCAGTGGAGAGCAGATCAACCCTCGCAAAAGGCTTATCAGCATTCTTGGAGGGAGCACCCTTCGCCTCTGAGACCTGATGTCTGGAATGGTCCGGTTTGAGTTAACTGCCCCGACGGAGGGAGGCCAACGTCATCCATCAGCAGCTCCAGGTCAGCGAGCTGAGCAGCCCTAATCAGGGCATGGCGCCGCAGTTCATGCACAGGGTTTCCAAGCGGACCTCCCTTTGATGCTCTGTGGCCAAGGAACCAAACAGGTCTCGGAGCCGGGAGAGTTAATGTCGATGCTGGAGAAACGCTGCCATTGTAGCTACTGCGGCTCGCTGAGTGTGAGATCATTCCCTCGACCTTGAAAAATAGACCAGGAAACGGTCTATACAGGGGAGCACACCAGCTGTCATTATCAGCGGCGTACCGTGTTGGATTGAGCGAGAAACCGTAATAAAGTCCCCAGTATCCTTATCAGTTGTCTCTACTAGTAAACAGACTCAACCTCCGTGTGCACGAGACGGAGGGAGTCTAAGCAGAGTGGGAAAATAGCTGTTGGCACGCTTGAGAACATATTCTCAGTCTGCACATCCAGCTGTTCCACACATGCAAACGCACAGCTAGAGATTCCTGACGGCACCAACATTTCAGACATTTTTAAATACTTTACAAAGATCTATTGCTGTTTCCGCTTCTTCACGTTCCCTTTTTTCATTTCTTCCGCAGCCTTTCCCCCTGGTCTCATCCTCCAGGTGGATGGTAAAGAGAGGAGAACTGACTGCCTTTGTGGAAGACAGCGGCATCTTCCTCAAACGGACATTGCGGCAGCAGGTTTATTTCTTCCTCTTCAATGATGTTCTCATCGTCACGAGGAAGAAGAGGTGAGTCTGGTCCTGGCGTGAATTAGGCTTAAGTGTGCAGACTGTTCTCATAACTCACCTGTTCTGACATGTTGAAGCGGAAACTCTAACCATAAATCGCCTATGGACAAGACCCTGCACAGGGTGTGTAATATTTTCCTCTATGCTGTGGTCCTTTTTTGCTGCGTTTGCATGTTGGCGAAAAAAGAAAGCAAAACTATTGTGAGCAAAACAGATGTGTCACAGTCACAACGTGAATACAGCTGAGTTGAGGAGAATTCTTAAGAAACACCCTTCACAATCGGACCGATCTTCCACACTGCCATCCTCCGTTACGGGTGTGTTGTTTTTTCAGCGGAACAGGTGCAGTCACCTGAAACTGCTGCGACTCGGCACCGTGAACCTGAGCCTGTTTTTCTGAATGTTGTGTCGCTCTGCTGGTGCGACGCATCACCTGGAACTAACCTGCTTAGTGCCGGCCTCTTTTAGTGAGTCTCCTCCTCCTGGTTTCCTCTAGTTTTAGGCAAACACCATGAAAACGAGCCACCGAGATGACGTCCTTGAAACGGTGTGGTTTTCACCACTTTGCGCACACAAGTTTGTCTATTTCTGCCAAAAAAGAAATCTGGAAGTCATTGTCCTAAAAAAAAAAGAAAAAAAAATCATGATTTTTTTGGGGGGGGGGGGAATCGTAAAAAATGGAAAGGAAACATTCCATGTGATGTTTTTCTGGGAATCTGAGCCTGGCCGGAATACCCCAGCAGCGCATGGTGTCAGGCCTGTGTTAGGAAGAGGGATTTGGGAGGAGGGAGTGCTGCGGGATCACAGCGCGTATTAGTGCGCCTGCGCAGACGCTGTTATCATGTTGGTCTGTGCTGCAGGTGAGTGGCGGAGCTCTGCTGTTGCACGCTACTCTACTGCACCACATCTGGAGGAATCAAAACAAACCCCCACCAGGAGGCTGGCCAGACACAGCGCGGTCACGCACATAATGGTGCAACGGCTCCTTCCTTAGTCATCATGACTTGGAGCTTGTTGCAGGGTAGCTTACGATCAGCCAACCCAACGGTGTTGCCAAAGGCAACCGTGTTGTGTGCTCGGATCCTTTCGGCTGCTTCTTGACTCATTTCTCTTGCGTCTGCATTTTAGGGAGTACCGTGAACACCAGAAGGGCGTCTGCAAAGGTCAAAGCAACGGCGCTTCCACAGTAGAGAAGAAAAACATACCCGTGACCTCAGAGCGTCTTCAGTTTTATAGGATTATACGTCAGATATATGTAGAAGAAAGGCTGTGTTTTATTTTGATTTGGAATCCTTATGATTGATGCGCTGTCTTTGATTAATGTCCAATAGTTTGGTGTTGAATCAAGAGTAGAATTAATCACCAATAAGATAATTACAAGTTTCAAATATAAAGATCTAAACAGCCATGTTTGTTAGTTTACTTATTCTGGTATTATTAAGGAGATAAACGATTCAATAAGAGATTGTTTGATTTAAAATCTGCTTTCTTTTTTTTTATCAACTTCAAAATCAAACCGGCTCTTGGAAAACCAGGCGCATGTCAGACTGGGCTCTTGTCACGCATTGGGGAAAGTTTTGATCTGCTGCTCTCTGGCTCACAGGAACACTTACATAACGCTGAGTCCACACCAGCTGGCTCCCCTCTCATCTTCACCCCCCCGCCCCCTTTTTCCTGTGTGATGCTGGGCATCATCTAAACATTCAGTATCCCACTTCATCTCTCTACTCCTTTTTCTCCTTCCGCTGTGTTTTCTTTCTGTTAATCCTTTTTCTTTATGTGCTTTGTGTGTGTGCGTGCAAGCCTATAATCCCAACACTTTCAGTTCTTTGCTTTTTTTTTTTCTTCCTTCTGTTTGTTTGACTTAGCGAAGTCTAAACACACCTACTGTACTTTGCACCAGAACATCAAGCTCTTACAATTTATGTGCGTGTCTGTGTGTGTGTCTGTGTGCGTGCCTGTGCGCGTCCATGCGTGCAAACGGTCATGCTTGAATGTCTGCCTGCATACTTTACTCAGAATTGTAAATCTTCATCTCTCTGATGCTTCGTGTTGATTCAGTTGTTGAAGAACTGGTTGTACATTGGGAAGATGGCAGCTGGCACAGTTGCCATGGTGTGTGTGTGTGTGTGTGTGTGCGCGTGCGATGCCTGTGCTATCTCTAATGGCAGGCGTTTTCATTCCAAGTGTGTCTGTTTGTTCTTTTTCTCTGTGCAAGTAGTTTATGAGGAGGCCACACGGTGGATGGATTATTTTGGTTGTTATATCAGTTTCTAACACTCCTTCAACAAAGGACGTATTCATATATAAACTGTTATTTACTTTCATTCCTCTAATTAGCAATAATCCAACACTGTATACCCACCCACCCACCCCACACACTTAAAGATCCCCACCCATCCTATTCCCCCGCATCACGTTCATGGCATTCCAGGCATTTCATCTATGGGCCTGTCAGGAGCCAGAATGGTGACGACCCCTTATGTTACCCCTGAACATTGTTTAAGGTTTTGTGTGAAAATGAAGTGAAAATAAAGGACACCAAACATCGAGGATGTATTAGTTAATACTAAAAACACACAAACCAACTCTGACATTTTTAAGGCTAAAGCTCTTTATTAATACGATTATTGAATTAGAAGAATTCTGCCTCCATAGGGCAAGGCGGTCCAGTCACTCCTGTAAGCAAGATACACTGTGATAATTCAATAGGTTAGTAATAAAGGGTCGGCGTGGTTAAGCCCAACGCAGAGAGTAGCTTTTGGTTACAGTTGGATACAGCCTCAGTGTGCTTGCCTTCCCATCCACTGCTTCTGGTTTTATTCGATCCGTCTCTCCCTGAACTCTCTTTGCAAGAGGTCTAATTGGTTGTGGGGAAACAGGCTTTTATTTATATTGGTTTACAAAAGGGGCTGAACCTTTTTGAGAAGCTCCCAACCATGACTGGATTCTCCAACCGGTCATGACCTCAGCGTGTGAGGGAATGATGATGTGTGTGTGTGTGTCTTTAGTGAAAGAGGCAGGCAATAAGATAAGGACAGATACTCGCTGTTTGTTAAACCGCTGCCTTTGTCCATCCTTGAGTTTGTCTCAGCTCGGCTGCTGTTTCTGTTTCTGTTCTTCAGAGCAGTATGAAAACACACACACACACACACTATTTCTCCCTCTGTAGTTCCATTTTAGAGGCACCGTGTTTCACAACCAGCTCCAGATGTTTCTTACTCGCACTCTGCTGGACACAGGTTGGTGGTAAATGTACCCGTGGGGAATAGCCGTGTACTGAAGGACCCAGAGGGCAGCTGATTTAGTGTAAGGACATGGAGACAGGCGAATGTTTTCACTTTTCACACAGAATCTGAGACCAACTGTGACAGCTGATTTATTAATCCAGGTGAATTTGATTAATCACACATTTGAAACCTCTCAGGGGTTAAATTGCTGAGGTACCGTGAAACTAAATCCCTACTGCAAACAATGATCTTCATGTGATGTTTAACAGGAAGTGGACGGCTGGGACGGTGGCTCGGGTACACACTAATGAGCTAATACTATTTTTTTGTAGGCTATATACAATTGTGTTGCAATTATTATTGCAGCACAACTATTTGCTTTGGTTCATTTCTCGATTATAGTAATATTTATCGTATTTGCTTAAAATCAATTAGACAATAGGAAAAAAAAACAATATTCATTCTTTAACAGCTTCAATCTAAAACATTTTGACTAAATACAAAAAAGACATCATAGTATATTTTCATTAAAATTCATTTCACCACAGCAAAGAAAGTCAGAAAAAAAAAGATTTTTGTCAAATGGAAATTTAGAGGGAGAAAAGCAGATGAATCCACATCTACGTTTGAACAGCAACTTGCTAGAAGAGTATCTTAAGATATAACAACAGATAGTATCTGTTATCATCAAGTAAACAAACCGTTTTGATCTTGAAATAATGTCATGAAAAGTTTCTGACTTTTTTTTTTCTTTCTATCTGCCTCTAATTAAAGCCATGCATCTGTTTCAGTGACGAGAGCTACTCTGTGATCGACTACGCTCTGAGGGACCAGATCTCGGTGGGTTCCTGCCAGCCGCAGGATCTCAACCTGTCACCGGTCAGAAGCACCGCCAGCATGCTGAGCCCGCGGCAAGCTGGCGCCAACCACCTCTTCCGTCTGCGTTTCCGTAGCAACCACTCCGACGAAAAGGTGCCCATGGTGCTGGGGACGGAGTTGCTGTGAGTGTTTTCATTTTGTTACCTTTGTCTCTCTTTGGTGTGCTATTTTTGTATCACTATCCCATGGCTGTTAGGCATGTGATCAATCACTTCTCTGATATACACCCCCCCCCCCCCCCCCCCGCCCCCTCAGGTCCCCCTCTTCTCCCTAAAACACACATTTTACTGCCTTATCTTTCCTTTATGTGCTTTAATATGCTTTATAAAGCATTATCGCTTCTCCTTAGCTCTTATTTCTAAGTCTCTTTCTGGGCCGTGACGAGTCACAGGGATATTTAGTTACATCTATTTTCAAGCCACCGCCCGGGCCGGACTGCTTGTTGTTTATGTGATCGAGGGAAAGGGAAGTTTATTAGCCGCGCTGTCTGCCGAAGTCCTGTAACGCAGTCCGGCTGTACCGGGTAATTCTTTTATGTTGACCGAGCATCTTCTTACCCAAACATCGAGCATCGCTCTCCGGTTGAAGACTGCTGGCTGTAGCTGACGTGTTTTTGCATGAGCAGCGTAAATGATTTCTCATAAAGTCTGATTTAGGAATACAGTCGGGTCACGTCTGCAGCGGTGTTGTCTCGCTTTGTACAGCTAGTAGATAAGCAATGGTTGTTTAGATAGATTATATAACCCGCACAAACAAAGAAGGTCTGTCATATATCGGGCTTCATACAGGGTGCACACACACACACACACACACACGTACACTAATGTGCAAGGGAGGCGTAAACACATATTTCACTGTAATTATTTTGTGTGGTAGAAGGCTTTGTTAGTGTTTTCATATGCACAGGGCCGGTTCCTCCTCATTCCGGTGTACTTTGAGAACTGTCTCATTACAGAAGGAGTGTTATTCAGCTGCACTGTACAAAACTCTTCTCTTAACCCCTTTTTAAAAATGTTATTTAATTTTTTTTTTTTTTACATCTACTTCTACTACTTCTGCCGAAATACAATCTGTAAGAGTTTTAATATGACTATTTTAGTACATAATAATAAAAAAAAGTTTAAAAAAAAAAAGTACTTTAAAATGTATATTGTCATATTATACATATAGGTGAGCAAGCAAGCATCAGAGTACTGAGCTGTAGTCACTTAACCCCTCAACGGTGGCTCTGCCCAGATGTGCTGCATTGCTCAACGAGGTGCATCTGGCCTGGAACGAAGCTCTTTAAAGCTCCTGTTCTGCCGGCAGCAGAACGGCAGCTCTTTCTGCCTCTCAGCCTCGGCTGTGGTTGTGTTGTCTGCATGCCTTCTGATGTGGATGAATCCCATGGATGTTCGTGGTGTTTTTAAGGTGTCTTCTGTTTTGATTCGGCACAGTGGTGCAGTGTTATCCGGCCCACAGGTTTGCCCGAGTGACGTTATTCCCGTTTGTAATTGGAAAATAAGTTTGACAGTTTGGTGCACGTGTGTTCGCGCCCCTGCTGTATATGTGAAACCAGAACAAAGCGCCTGCAGTGTTAAGCGTGACCGTTTGGGAGACGACTTCCAAGTGCTGCCCGCTGGGCCTTACGTACGCCCCGTGTACACATGATGAGGTCTAACAGCGCATTGTCCAGTGTATTGTCGTGCTGGAAAACCCCTTGACTACCCCCCCACCCCGCACAGGTGAAGTTTGGGGTCCCGGTTTAATGGCGTATGTGAGTGCAGCGCTGCGTTCACTGTAGTGCTGCAGAAGTCGAGGAGAGGAGACCCTGGCAGGCATCCATCGTTGCGGGTAGTTGCTAAGCATTGTTTAAGCGGTTGCTTAGCAGCGGCCCATTGTTAAGAGGGCTGTTTCCCACGACTAGCTCCTCCCCCCCTCCCCCCGCCCCAATCCCACCACCCCCTCCTCAGGTTTCCTCACTCGGCCCTCCTCTTCTTCACAGTCCTGTGTCTGTGTGAATGACGGCAGACAGTTTCTGCTCTTTGTTTTTCGATGACCAGAATATCTTCCTCGTCTTTGGGCCATTCATCCCAATTTAGTAATAATAACCCAACATGACTCACGGAGGTGGTGGGACATGGGGCCTTTTTAGGCTTCTGTCAGAGTAAAGAGGCAGTGAGGACAACATGTAGTATTGAGGCTACAAAAGAAAAGGACTGCAACCAATGAATGTTTTAGCAGTTTACTCCAGCTAACTATTTATATCATCATCATCATCATCATCATCATCATTATTCTGGGCTGTAAGTGCCAAATTTAAATGATTTATCTTGTGCGTCTAGACCAAAGCTGATTAAATGATCACAGATGGAAAAAGAGACCTTTCTGGATAGTTCTCCTGATTCTGTTCAACTCAACACCATCAAAAGGGTACAGACCGTAAAATGTAAGGACTAGTTTGTGCAGGAATACTTTGTGCATCCGCCCCTCTGTGTTTGGCTGGGAAAGCAATGGTGGCTGTATTACACGCGCTTCCCTACACTGTTTACTTGACCACTGAGTTACAATGTATAAAACACATTCTGATGTTTGTCATTGTAGTTTTTTGTGTGTAAATTAAACCATTGGAATGAACATCGACGCGTGTTGGTCAGTGTGAGTGGATCTACTTTCAGTTCAGTTCAGCCTGCACCGTACCTGTCCAAGACGCTGCATCCACCAGACTTCTCTTTGACCGCAGCGGTGACGTGTTACACCAGGAATTCAGACAGCTGGATCAGAAATGGCACAAGGACGCCTGTGTAGCGTCAGCCAATGTCTTTTTCTTTTCTGTCTGTGTCCTTTTTCTCTGTACCCTTTTGTCTGCTATGCACATGGCAGTGCCTCTTCCCCGTGACCCCCGGCTGACTTCAGCTTCTCTGTTAGTGGAACAGAGCAGCTACGGAAGTCTGCAGCAAAACAGTCCTGTTGGCCAGACATGCGCCCGTAACACAGAGCACCATTGGTTCCATAGATACGGCAACCGGAGGGCAGAGTACGTCCTTCTGTTGCACACTTTGCCGTCACTTTTTATACATTTTTATTCATACATCTGCTTGCGATTAAGTTGTTGTTTTTGATTATCTCACTAAGTCTGCTTTTGCTTATGTGATAACGAGAAACTTAGTGACGGGAATTCTCTCTGCCTGGGATTTTCCCCGGCTGGTCGGAGGGAGATTTAGTGGGGGTTTTTGTCGGCGAAGGAATTGTGATCTAATATCGTTGTGACCGGTGGTTCAGTGGAAACGAGCTTCGTCGGGTGTAAAAAAGGAGTGAGCAGAAAAGGACACGGGAGGAGGGGAAACGGGGGTCTGCTGGTGATTTTACGCTGGCAGAGGATGGAAAGAAGCCGTCATTTCCCTTTTATCTGCTGGTGAGAAAGAGGTTTTATAGCGTAACGGCAAGGCCTCTCTTCCTTTCAGAGGTTAAGGGAGAAGCTTCGACAACAGATTTATGGTTCTTGGCATTCCCTCGCATGTTGGGATTAATGGTTAATGGCAGAGAAAGCTTAACCCTCTCTTACTACTTGAAAGGGCTTTGAGTCAGTATTCACATGTCTGCACGTAAACACACAAACACTCTGTTGAGCGGCTTTTTGTTGTGTCTCACACTCCGCAGACAACCGCTCACTGTCTCTCAAGCCCGTGTGGGTCCCTGTGCTCCGTATATTTTGAACACATTTGTATTCATACTTGGGATGAAGTATTTCAGGTGTTGATGCATGAGAGAGAGCGAGCTGCAGTGATGATGATGTGTTGTCCACGAGGCCACATGGATCTGTCGGCATGTGCGTCCAGCTGTCAAACCGACAGATGCCTTTCCCACGGAGCAGCTCCCATGTTTCAAGTACTCGCGCATTCAGCACGAGGACGTCCGCCGGCCTCCCTTCCCTCGAACGCCACAAGCAATGTTCACGTAGTTAGTAAAATGTCTCCTCAACTGTTGGAGGCATCGCCGTGGAACTTGGTGCAGACAGACATGTTAATGTCAGAAGGGAATTGCACTTTGGTTGATGACCAAATCCGTGCTAAAGTAACAAAACTCCCAACAGACTCCGCTGTGGTTAGTGTTCAATGCTAATTAGCATTAATTAAACTTGCAAGATAAAAAGACACACATCAAACCTGCCAAATATTGGTGTGTTAGCATTGTCATTGTTGGTAGTAGTAGTTGGAGGTGAGCATGAAGTTACCTGCCTAAATACATCTTAACTACTACATTACTTAGTGACTATATTCCAACTGGACTTTGGACCTCACAATGCCATTTTTAAGATGTCAATTATTAAACATAGAAGGAAATGAAGAGTGATGATTGGTGTTGATTTGAGATTCTAAAATGTATCATTTGACCTCAAGGTCACACTTATATCAGACACACAATTGCAGTGTGGGTCCAATCATTTCATTTTAAAAGCTTAAAGTGATGTGAAACAGTCCAGCTAGTTGTAGAATGCTGACGTGAACTTGTTCGTTCCAACTTGTGCGTCCAGTAAAGGATTAAAACCGCATGTGCACAAAGGGAACGTAATAATGAGGTCTGACTCACGGCGCTGTCGCCTGTCCGAGGTGGGGAGACTGTCCCGCTATTACTCATCTCCAGTGCCGAGTCAGCGGGGGCCCACTCGGGGTCTGTTAATGAACCCCCTTTATCTCTCCCACTCATTGTAAATACCCCCTCCCCCCTTCCGTCGTCCATGAGAACAGGTGAAATGGAGTTTCATGGAACCCGACCTGTGCGACTCCACCCACTGTGTCTTTCCCACGAAACACACAGAGGGAGGTGGAGTCGGGAGAGGGGGAGCTGGGGGGGGGCAAAAGCAGGTCTCAACCCTGCGGGGAATCGGCTTTGTGCTTGTTCTCCTCAGTTCTCTGCGACTGAAAAACACACCTCTGTTCTGTCATGGGGGGCCGAGGAGTGGGGGGGGGGGAGAAAGCAGAACTCGCTCTGCTACTAAGTCATGTATTTTCCTCAATAGTCATCTTGTGACCTTCCTTCTTGGAGCTGCGTTCACTTTCGAAACGGCCGTGACGTAGCGTGTGCCGGTGTAACAGAGGCTTTACAATAACAACGTAAAGTTCTAGGTATCACCCCCCCTCCCCCATAGCGAGCAGAACTATTTTAATGGCAGAACTTCTTCATGTGCTGACGTTTTGTGCTTTTAGGAATGAGCGTGCGCGGTGGATCAGCGCCCTGGGCCAGAATGTCAACAGCAGCAAGAGTCAGGACAGAACCAGTAAGTGACAAACAGTCAAATGTGTGGCAACGTGCAGGTATTCTGGCTTCCTTTTGCTCTCTTGGCCTGTAGCACCACCTTGTGGTCATTTGACAAACGGATTTTTAAAACACGCTTGTTTGTTCGGGTCCGTTTGTAACGTATCTGAGGTGATCTATGGATTTGTGTTTGTGCCGTAGACGTCATGCAGGTGGAGGTGATCAGAACGTACACAGCCAAGCAGCCGGATGAGTTGTCCCTGCAGGTGGCGGATGTGGTGCTGGTTTCGCAGACCGTAGAGGACGGTAGGTTCTCTCTCTCCCACCTTTTAACGCTCGCTCGTTTCCTAGTTCTTTCTCCCTCAACCTCTTTAGTATTCCCCACATTCACCTTCTCGTTTCAACACTGTCCTTTCATCATGCACGTTCATATACAGTCTTCCTCCATACCCATCTGTCTAATATAATGGACCGTATACGTGTTTGAAGATGTGCTTCACACCTAAACAAAAGCACAGGCCCGAAAGGTGCTTTCCATTTCGGTGGCCATAGCAACGGTCTTTGCAGAGCATCATTTTTCATACGTCTCTTCGTTTTCTCTTCTCAGGGTGGTATGAAGGTGAGCGACTGCGCGACGGAGAAAGGGGGTGGTTCCTCGCAGAGTGCGCCCAACCAATCACGTGCCAGGCCACCATCGAGCGCAACATGCAGCGGATGGACCGCCTGCAGGGGTTGGAGACCAATGTATGAGCCGGATGTGCTTAAAAAACAACAACAACAACAACAACACAGCGGGCTTTTCTCAGCGATCCCAAACAAATACGTTCAGTAGCAACGTCGCCGACCTGCCTTTCAGGGGCCAGGTGGACGCGGCGGGGCTCACAGTGGGATGAAGAAGCAGCACGTAGCTCTTGACACGTCAGCGTTCACGCCGAACACAAGACGAAGAAGAGATTGCTGATCGCAATTGTGGGTGGAGGCGGTTACATTCTTTCATTACTGGCTCAGCGAATAGACGTCACACGCAGAGTCACTTCCCCGCTACTCAACAGCTTTTGGTGTGAAATTTGTAAATATTTTTACCCCAACGTACTTTTCGACGAGCGCTATGCGATAATTGGAACTACGGAATCACCAAAGGAGGTGAAGTAGACACCAGCGGCGTGGAGATGACAGCCGCCTGATGTGTGCTCTGTTAATGAGGATCTTCGGGCCGTGTAATTAGGAGCTTGTAACTAGGAAGATGTTGACTGTGAAGGAGATAATAAGGATAGACGGAGGAATTGGGAGCTTCTTCACAGCGTGTTAGTGTAGAAGTTTCAGTAGCATCAGAGACCATTACATCTATGAGGAAGTTTGGTTAGAAAAATGAAGGCGACGTGGCTTCAACTGAATGTCCGAATCAATTGAATGAGGATTACGGTTCTTTGTATAATCTCAAGACATCAGTGATGTTAAGTAGAAGGGCCGGGCATCCGTCCTCTAGCTCGCTGTCTGTCCCCGCCATGAATCAGGCTCTACATTTGTGTCACAGATCCCATTCTTCTTCCCATTGACTCATTGAGTTGGACAGCATGAAATATCACGTGCCCTGGAGGCCAGCCAAGGGGTGTAAATATCCTCCCCCCCCCCCCCCCATCCCCCACCCTAAGGATTTATAACTGATGTTACAGAGGCAAGCTGAATTCATGTGTATGTGTGTGTGTGTGTGTGTGTGTGTGTGCGCGCTGATGGGGCGACCGGAAAAGAAGCGCAGCCCTGCTTTTAATGTGATCGTCCAACATGAGTCATCCTTTTTTTTTAAAAAGTGTTGCCATGGCGAGCCAAAGGAAACGAATGGCTTGGTCAGAGCGTGGCGGTAACACCATCCATTAAGCTCACTGCTCCGGCCCAACCCAAAGTGACAACCTCAACCGGTGGGCTACATGGGGGCGGGGGGGGGGACACGGGTATCCAGGTGAAGCTTTGCATTTGCACTCAGGGAAAATTAGCTCTGCGATACCACGCGTAAGCATGAAATTATCTTTATTTCGATGACTTCCTGTACTTATTTACTATTGTAAATCATCTGTGTATATGTAAAGCCGCCCTCAGTGGTAACATGTTTGCCAAAATACAAATTTGTATAGCAGAAACATGTTTAGTCAACCTTTATAAATATCAGCCACTATAAATAAAAGCTTGATTGCCTGGGACCTGTCATTTACTCTGTGATAAATAATACATGCACTCGCCATTTAGGACAATACATGTGCCATTTGTTCTGCGTGCACATTACAGAAATGTAAATAAAGCCTTTGCCCAGTGGCACTTTTTGGGATATTTGAGACTATCCGGATTTTACCGAGGAGACTTTAGTGAGTAATCCCTCTAAAATTGGAGTAAATGCTGCTCTCCTGTTATAAGAGATCATTTTTTTCGATAATAAAGCTGGATATATTTTAGAGCAATATTTATTGTTTTGTAAATTCCATCTCACTAAAAGCAGAGTGCGGTGGTGTTTTATCATTGACCTTTTCTTTATTGTGCATTTTGTGACGGAAAAAGAAGGAAGGTTCATCCAAACTGAACAAAATGGCTACTGACTGGATTGAATATTGGACAGATTTGTCCTTGCAAATGCCAATAAACTACATTTACAGTGAGTGATTTAAGTACGTTATATTCTCCGGTGGTTTTTATTTTTTAGAAGCACCAGCTGGTTGTCAAATATCCCAACTGACCAAAACGTGCCGCAATTTATTTTCAAGGCTCTTCTCCTCAAAGCCAGCCTTAAAACCGGGCCGCAGCTAATCGTCCTCGTCGTCCTCATCATCGAAGCGGGTGTGCTGTCCTCTCGGGGCCGACGCCCACGTTTGGCCGTAGCCCTTGGCGCCGCCGGTGGGCTTCTCCTGGGTGGTGATGAGGTCTATGATGGCCGTGATGACGGCACAGTCTTTGGACTGGCGGTCTTGCCAGTCCACGGGAGCGGGGTTGCGGATCTTCTCCTCGAGCAGAGAATCCAGCTCTTTCTTTAAGCTCTGTTGGAAAGGCGAAGGTCAGTGACAACGCATCTAAACAGCTGTTTTTCGGACCAGTGTGTGTCCTGCGCTTACTTTGACGAGGTGAGCTATGCGGGCCGGGGACCTGAAGACGATCCACTGGTCGACGGCGATGGTCTCCTGGTCCTCGTCCTTCTGGATGGTGATGTCTCCGCCGAAGAACAGCAGCGAGAACGGGGACACCTCGGTGCAGTCGTAGAGGAAGATCTGAGGACACGCAGAGAGATGTCGCTAACGCACGGCGACAGGAGCTTGACGACAAACACGCTTACCCGGTCGGCGAGCGGGATCATTATGACACACCGTGGCCGACAGCTATCCTGCGGTGTGGGCTGAAAGTGTCCCATTAGTGCACAGAGGCTGTGCCAGTTCCAAATGTGTTTCAGTGCCTCCGGTGTCAAGAGAAATGTCATCTTGCCCCGTCTGTGAATTTCACAGTTTCCGTCAATTTGCCTTCCTAAAATCAACGGAGTGCTGCTAGAACGTTTTTTTTTTTTTTTATAAAGAATAGTATAATGTTTTACATAAATCAAAGTATTTAGACAGAACACAGGAGTGATAGATTATCCCTATTTCAAAGCGGGATAAAATGTTGAACAAACGATGCTGCAATGTGCAGTATTATTGATGAAATTGCTTAAGTTGTTTGTTGAGTAGTTGCACACTCACAAAAACGGCTCAGGACTAAAGCCATAGAGGTCTCAATGGCTACGAGCAGAAGACAGAGGTAAAAAAAAAAAAATTAGTGTTCGCGTAAGGGAAAGGAATTTATGGGGAGGGGGCGAGCAAGGACAACTGCCTTTGCCCCATGAATGTGTAATGGAAGTGCGTCAAATTCAACGTCACAACTGGCTTTCCTTCCCCGGACATTTTGCTTCCTTCTCTCTCACTTAGTAAACAGATGACCTCGACAAGCTGGCAATCTCCGAATAACCTCCTTTTATATTGGACCCATTGGAGGACAAAATCACTTAAACGACACAAATAAAACATTAAATGATGGAATTAATAATGCACCAGCAAAAACCTCTCTTTTCATAAACCCAAGGCAAACCAAACAGACTGACATGAAAGGTGTTTTTCTGCCGAGAGGTAACATCCACAAAGAAGAAAGATAAATGGACTGAAGGGAGGCAATGGGAACGCAGAGGTGAAAAAAAAGAATTCTATATGTAGAAAAAAAGAAAAAGATGGAGAGACGCCAGTCAGGAGCTGCATTGACCGTTTTACCTCTCACATTGCGCTTTGAAGCACAAGCGCCTTTGAGGGAGAGTTAAAAGGGCAGCGTTTTAATCAAATATCATTCAGAGAAAAGCTGAAATAAACCGCTGCTCCTTCTTTCCACTCACACTCTTCAGGGGGAAAATACAGAATCAACAAGATGTTGCAATACGCACTTGAAAGTAAAAAACAACGTTCATGCAGCATTGTTGAAACGGTGCGCATTGCACGTCCACTCGCCTACTCACACTGCTCGTTCTCATCTTGAGGTGGTAGACGAGCCACGTGTAGTTAAACTCCGTCTCTTCGGCGTTGACCGACTTCGGGTGGATGACCACCTTTCCATCAGCTTGGGTGTACGCCTTGACCCTGACAACGGGGAGATATGAGAGTGCGCGTGTTTTTGTCTGGCTTGCATACGTTGGTCAAAACAATTAATGAACCGTTATCTCGATAAGTAGAAAACCAGGGGAAACAGATGTCATCATGGTAAGGGGGGGAAAATGAGGAAAGAAATTCTCGTCATTAAAAACACAGATTTCAAATGGCTAAAACTGTCGCTGAGAGACAAACAAAAGCGCCGGGCCCACTGCGAGTCAGTGTGTGTGTCCGTCTCCCTGTTGTGCGTGTGGTTTTCTCTTTGCTCAGCCATAACAGCCGTTGCCCATGACAGCGGCCCGAGGCCAGTTTTATGCACGACTGCATTGATCTGACCTGAGAGGTGTGTGAGGACATATTGTAGTGTAGGGGACAACTTTCGATCAAAAGTTCAATGTGAATGATTGTGCACTTCTCTGAAAATGGTTTAGTTTTCAGCCATTTTCCCGTTCGTCCGCTCATTGAATTGTTGGACTCACCCGGCCTTCTTGCAGCGGGAAGGTCTGATCGTTGCCACCTTCGGGTACAGACCGGCTACAATCACCGCCTTGATCAACTTCTCATTGTCTGATGGAAGGAAGTGAGAGTTCGAGGAATTGAAAAAGGAGTCTTATTACTGCCAGATCGTCTTGTTTTGAGATCCATAAGAAAAGAGTATTTTTGGAGTTGCATCACAACCAGTTGATTTTTAGTTACCTGAATTAACATTGGATTTGGGGTCTTTGGGATCCCTGCTGCTGATAAAGCCTGTATGCATAAGATGCTCAGCAAACTGACCCTTCATGTTGTGCAGCATCTGAAAGACAAAGAGACAAATTGCTTCTATAAAGGCTGCAGGTCCTTGTCTGGCCAGGCAGGAGGAAACTCAAACATGTAACAGGGTTTTCACCAAAAACACTGCTAAATCAGACTGGCTCACCTGGAGTGTGTTGGCGGACAGGAAGTTGTCCCAGCAGTACTCCCTCTCGTACCTGGCTCCACTGTGTTTGGCTTCCTCCCAGCCCTGGCGAACGGTTGGATTATAACAACATGAAATCATACACTAGACCGAGACTAAGGACGGCGTTGACCGATGGGAGACGTCCTACCTGGAAGGCGTTGACGATAGTGAGGTGGTCACTCTTGGAGTTTCTGGACAGGGTCCTTCTCCTCATATCCGCCATCTTCTCTTTGCCCTGAGAAAGACGAATGCATTTAATATTCCTTCGAGTCCTTCTCTGCGATGGAAGAAGAAAGCGGCAGAGCGCAGCAGTGTGCACGTGTGTCGCTGCAGCAGTGTGCACGTGTGTCGCTGCAGACGCAAGCTTTTATGTGTGTGATTTCAGTGCCCTACCAGGGGGATGAAGAAAGGGTCTTTGAAGCTGAGTGAAGCGGCGATGGTCAGGACGGGGTCGAGGCAGCCCAGCAGAGCTCCAAACAGGATGAGTTTGCCAATGTGAGGCTCCACGGGCAGGCGAGCCAGGTGGAAACCCAGCGCCGTCAGGTTCTCTGAACGGTCCAGGGCGTTCTAGCACACAAAATAGTGAGGAAAAAAGAAAAGAAAAAAAAAAAAAATCACATATTTTTTAGTCATCTAGAACAAAACACACCATTTTTTTGAAAATAAGGAATTAATATTCTAAAGTATAAAGCAGAAAAAAAGATCTATTGATTAAGGCGTTTGAAAGCTCTCCAATGCAACTTATCCGAGATTTGTTACGGTCAGGTTGTTTTAACCTTGCTAGCATGAAATGATTATCATGCTTTATATTGTTAAATGCATTCATTTTTCATTCAACCTACTTCAGACACTTGGGAGGATAAGAAACCTTGGAACTAGCAGATTTGTTAAAAATACTTCTAGTTAGGAGACCTTGAAACCACATGCTCAGGCAAGAGGTTGTTTCTGTTCGTCCAACTTTTCCCTCCAATATGTCTGTTTCTTTGCCAGCAAAAAATAAACTGATAATACAACTAATAGTTAGTTGCAGCCAGCTTGCTGTTTCTGATTTGTTCTTAACCCGATTATAATTAAAAACAAATGATCTTCACTTTCTTACCAGGCCCGTGAGGTTCTTGATGGCCAGGTTGATGGCCTTTGTAGTGGGGGGGTCCAGGGATTTCTCCAGGAATTGCGCGATGGACCCGAGCTTCAAAATCTAGGCGGCACACATGACATTTTACATTTATCAACAAAAGCGTGCAACTACTTTGTATCTTGGTTTGACCGCTTGTCATTTGTAGCATTGAACTGAGGGCATTTGCCGTTTTTGCTCGTCATGGCTGATGGCTGATGTGCATTAGAAACACTCTTACCTTAAGGACAGTCTGGTGCATTAGTCCTCCTCTCACCCACTAGCTTCAAAAACAACCAACTGAAGTAGCGGGCGACGACCACCCGAATGTATAACCAATACAAATAGTGGCGAGAACAATCATTGCAGAAGCTACAGCTGAGTGAACTTTGGCTTAATGTTCCATTAGCATGGGCTGAATTATGTCTGAGTGAGGAATGAGGATTTAAAAAAAAAAAAAGAGAGCAGGGAAAATAATGGTGAGCCACTAAAGAAGAAAGCGCCTGTTCACGCAAGAGAAAGAGCCACAGAAGAGCAGTGATTAACGTTTTTGACAAAAAACGGACGCAAATAAGCTTGAGAGCAAAAGAGCACGAGTCAGTCATATTAGGCAGGAGAGGCTGTAATTCAACACAAGCCCCTCCTGCACTCACTAAACACAATCACGCCAATCCAGTCGTCATCTCCACTCCCAGACAACAACAGCTGGTCGTCTCTCTCCGTCAGTCTTTCTCTCAGCATAGATCACCTTGATCTGCAGGCAGAGCTCCTCCAGTGGTGTCCTCATGATTTCGGGTAATTGGTAAGCGTCCAGCAGGCTGGCCCTGAGGCCATTGTACAGGTGATAGCACTTCCCTGGACACACTCTGGGTAGATGCACAGAATAAGGGAGTGGGACAGAGAGGGGAGGAAAAAGAAAATACGCTACATCAGTCCTGTGATGAGAGCGTCATTTAAAACCAATTTGGTGCAACTTGACTCGGTGAGCAGCTCCTGCTAATTGAGCCTCGCTAGCAGAACAGACGTCTGGAGTCACACACTGGAAACACCCTGCGAGTGACCGCGCTTTGCATTTCCACGGGGCTTACAGATGGGAAGGCAGGAAGGAGCGGGCGGATGGGGAAAGACTGACAGGAAGCTTTAATCCATGCACATACCTGCCAGCGCGCCCCTTCCTCTGTTTGGCGTTGGCCAGGCTCACCCACTCCGCCGTCATGGTGCTGATGTTGTTGTTGGTGTCAAAGTTGGTCTCCTTGATCTTGCCTCCATCAATCACGTAAACGACGTCATCTATGGTGATGCTGTGAGGAAGCGGAGAGAGAGGCGAGAAGAGAGAGAAAATCAAATCTTCAAAGCAGTCTGTGAAGAAGCCTCAGCTAAGACTCACATGCAATCATTCAGTGTCAAAACATAATGTAGCCCCTCTGGTAGATTTAGAGTCTATATTTAGTGGAGTGATGTGAGGGGAGTGACAGCAACTTCAGAAATTGCTCAGTTTGTGCGTGCGCGATGCTTCGTGAATGCACTTACAAAATTGCCGGACTCTTTAGTCTCCATCCGAGATTACGGTGTCCAAAATCAATCCACAAAATGTATGCTAATGGGCCCCAAATCTTTTTTTGCATAATAATGACTTGGAGCGGCTGCATTGCACTGGTTACACACAGGCGCACACACACGCACCACTGACTGGGACTCATCATTTCTTCTTTTTATTCTATTTTCCCCGACTTACAAGAAGTAACAGCCCAAGAAATTCTTGAAGGACGTTCGTAAAGAAGTTGCACAAAATAAATGCATACACACACACACACACACACACACACACACAAACTCAATCCACATACCTGGTCTCTGCTATATTGGTAGCAATCACAATCTTTCTAACTCCCGGAGGCGGTCTTTTGAACACCTGAGGTGAGAGGAAACACAAGTTAGGACTTTTCTGATATTGCAAAGGAAGCGAAGCGGGACAATTGGCAGACTGAGAAAGAGAGACATGTTAGAGAGACAGAAGGATGCTTACCTGCGTCTGGTTAACCGTAGGCATGAGGGAGTGCAAAGGGATGATCACGAACCGGTCTGAAATACAACGGGACACAAAAGGGAAATTAAAACAAAGAACCATTGGCCAACACAAGATACTATCTTGATACAAGATGCTAGCGTGGGAAGCTTAACAATAATGTCCAACCAATGTAACCCTGAATTTCCCGCAAACCATCCAGCCCCATTTGCTCAACTATGCCAACAAACGTACTTTGTTATTTAATATGGACAGAAAAATACAATATACATATTCAATAATAAAAATACCATTTAATGATGTTTTATGACTAATAAAAGTCCTCTGGTTGTTTCACTTCAATGTAAATTCATTAATTATATACACGCTCATTCTCGCTTAAAGAAATATTTGATTTGTAGGAGTATAAAAATGTGAACACATTTTCACATCACACTGGGGCAGCTGACAACTATTTCCATTATCAATGGAACAGAAGAAAATGTTCCCAATTCCTCAAAAACCAAATACAGTCCAAACTAGTAACATAATTATGCTAAATACTCTGATTTAAGTGAGGCACAAAAAACAAGCTCATCGTGTAAATTGCCTCCCAGTTTACACAAGTAAAAAAGATTTTTGAAAGGTAATGGATTACAATTATTCTTATTCTTTTAAATCAAAAACAAGAATAAGTATTCCTACAAGGTACTTTCATGTCACATGTTTTCAAACCCACTCGTGTACCTGATCGGAACATCTCCTGAGCCACCAGTAGGTCGTTGAGACCGCTGATGTTGTCCCAGCCAGGAAGGAAGACCAAGATGGCTCCGTCCTGTCAGACAAACACATGAACGCCACACAATAAAACAGCAGGCTTTCATATGAGAAAATACAACATGGAACAAACTGCCAACACAAACAAATCAGCCGGGGAAACCAGGATTTAGCCAAGTGAGCGAGGTGTCAACTGTCCTCGGTGAGTCCAGGGAGACGGAGACGACTCGCCCGGAGCTCAAATCACCCACATTCAGTCACATGACAGGCCCCCGACTTTGCCTGCCAACACCGTAATGAGAACGACATTGTCCTCCTCCGACAACGGGATGGATGAGCACTTAACGTAAAGCCCCTCAAACAGAAAAACTACTTCACATGATGATAAAATGGATGAAACTAGTGATGGATACGGGGCAGTTGTATTATTGTAGCAGCGAAGATATGAATTATATTTCTATTAAAACTACTCATAATCAAAGAGCTATATGAACCATACTAAAAAGGTTGGTAGATTAGATTTGAACTAAAGACAAAATAATAATGTTTAGAAGCTCTACATTTTAAAATCAGAGCAAAATCCAGCTTTTGTAGAATATCAAAAAGCGGAAAGTCTCTGGCAAGGCTACTTTGCAAAGTGAAAAACCCAAATTAAACAAACATTATAGTCAGGATAATATTAAGCTGATCTAAAATAACTCCATTTCCTCACAGGAAGGAGAGATGAAGTTCTGGGTCTTAAGAAAGTCTTAATTAGAGCTAATTATGATTACCGATGCTCACTGGCACCCACTTGGGACTAGATACGGGTCTGTTAATTCCCATGCACGAATGTGCGTGTGTAAAAGAAAGGGGGAGGAAAGCGATGCAGGCGCTGTGCCAAGTTCCAACCTGACAAAAACACATGTTCACACACATGCAGTGCAAAGCAGCGGAGTTTTCCTCCAACTAAAAATCAAACGGCACAGAAAGCTCTGTAGCGTTGGACCACGCGCGCACGCACACGCACACGCACACACACACACTTCTACCCAGCAGGCGTTCATTAGTGCCTTTATGTCACCCCGCTTGGCGTCTAACCATGAACTCGTGAGACATAATTAACCAATCATCACAGTGAAGGCCCGTCCGACGGCCCGTATCCGCGTTTCGTAACGCTGTCACCGAGAATCAAGTGTCTCCCTTTTGACGGTTGGTCGACCGCGCGGTGAATTGGCTGGTCGACGGGCTCAGGGTGGCCGTGACTGATAGAGATGGGGCTTCATAGGGGAAAGGATAATCATTCTGTCTGACTGTGTTAGTCACATCTCACTCTCGGGCCTGACTGTTTTTCCTGTTTCTCTCTCACACAAACTAACTACTAAAAGAAGAAAAAAAAAGAAGAAAAAAAAGAGCTGTATTAATTGTTTTTCTTCCATTGAGGCACTTGATTTGTACTTTGAAGTTTTCACCCTTTCCCCCGCTTTTAAAAGTGACAAAAGCCCACGCTGAATGCTTTTGCTTGTGAGAAAGGGTTTCATTGTGCAGCTTTGTTTTCCCACGTGTTGGCACTGACCTCTAACTGGAAACTGTTGAAAGAAAAACATAAGAAAAATGAAAGAAAGAAAAAACATTTTGGAATGGAAAGGAAGGGAACGGATGTGCATCAGAAGAGCATCTGCTCGATCGCTCATTAGCACAGATCTGCTGCCAGATTCACTGTTATTTCCTCTGATCTAACGTTGCTCCGTATTTGAAAGGTAGCCGTCCTGTTCCGTCCATCTGCTCCACCTATCAGTGTGCTGTGCCTCTCTGCTTTTGAGAGTTTTTGTAAGTCCCCTTTACCTGATCTGGAGCCATGTTCCTAATGGAGCGCTGCTCTGCCAACCCGTCTTACCATCGAAACGTCTGGAACTCGTCGAGTCCGTGAATAGAAATCCAGTGTGAGTGACAAGCGTCTGTGATGCAAACGCTGCGAGCTTTCCAACGTAATGATAATTGAAGAAATCCAACTAAAGTCATCTGGCACACGTCACTCACCTCCTCTTTGAGCACAATATGGCGAATCAGAGCCAGGATCAGCTCCAGGTCAATCTTGTCGTCATCGTCCAACATCTCCAGTGTCTCGATAGTGTTGTCAGAGTATCTGTAAAACACGGGGTACGAACAACGAATGAATTAACAACCCATCGTACTGCCGCTCAGCAAAGCAATCGTCAAAAATACTAACTCTGGCGCCAAATAACACTTATACTGTAGATGGAAATGTGTTGAGACCAACACTATGTGGCAATACATTACAGTTGTTGCCGTGTTTTTATAGCCCATTTGCTATGCCCTTTTTTTTACTTCAGCCACTTGGGCACAACACTTTAATTGAGATGTATACGATTTCGCGTTTACGTCACAAATCAATTAAATGGTCAAATGTTCCGACGCAAATGTGGCAAATCCAAATCCTCCATTGACCCAGAGGCCGCTGTTCTCCCCAACTCACCTGCCCTGCAGCGTGCGTGCATAAGTGGGCCAGCTCTCCTTGTACTCCGCCTCTTTCTCCTCCTTCTCAGGCCTGGAGTTGCGCCCCTGCCAAAAGCCTCTCTTCCTTGACGGGCGGCGGTCCTGATTCTGGGGAGAATACCTGGCAGACGGACCAGCCAGTTTATATCAGACCCCATTGGAACAAAAAAAAAAAAAAAAAAAAGAGGGTGTGGTTCCGCTTGGATTTTGGTGTGCGGTCATTCTACCTAGTCATCTCCACGATGTCCTCGAGCAGGAACTCCTCGACTGGGAACGTCAGACCGGGGATGTGGATCATTGCGCAGTTGTCTTAAGGTTTGACGCAGGGAAAGTAGATGAGAGGCAGAAACAACCCTAAATAATTAATTTGCCAGATCAGTGCTGAACAAACGTTGGTTTGTCATTCGGGGAGCTACATACTGAAATATTTGGAAAACTTCTCTGCGTTGAGCGTGGCACTCATGAGTATGATCTTGAGGTCATCTCGAAGGGTGAGTATGTTCTTCACGATGACGAGCAAAACGTCAGATTGCAGGTTCCTCTCGTGGATCTCGTCCAACACCAGATGGCTGATGGTGGACAATAACCTGACAGAATAAGAGAAAATGTATTAGTCAGTTGTTGATTTCAGTTTGGGTCGCTCTGTGCATTCCAATACCCATATCACAATACTGTTATAATACTAATACAATATTAAGTTTGCTCCAATATGACGATAACTAATGTGTCCATGTGCATCCTACAGCTTTTTGCAGGAATAAAGCCAGCATGCTTTCCTGACTATTCGGACCCCCAATCCACTGCACAGAGGCTTACAGAATGCAACAAAACATACTTTGTATGGGCATTTTTTGTATGTACTAAAAGAAACGGTATGGAATTTGGAATGCAATGCGTATGTCCTCATTATTTTTTGTCCTGTATGTTTGTATTTAACACTTCTGGCAAGAAAGGCCTTCTCGCCTTGTCGTATTGTGTCTCTTTTTTTTCCTTTACATGATTCTTGAAACATGAAACGCAAGTGCAAATTATTTGTATTTTTACATCTTTTAGTCAGTAGCTATAATTAGTCACTTTTCAAATGCCGCATCTAAATCTTACATATTTAGATATGTGCTCTTTGCAACAAGAACAGAGTTATGTTCCTTCTGTACAACTACTATTAATAATGAGTTAAAAGGCTCTGTGGAACTGAAAATACAAATGAATCACTTAATGGCTGGATACGGAAAGTGTAAACATAGCTGCAGAGCATGCAACTGTCACCTGGTAAGTAAACTGCTGCGTGAATACACCTGAATGTCAAAAAGCTGCACCAGACGACTGGAGTGGTGTAGAGTGTAGTGCAAACTCTGAAGTGACCATGAAGCAAGACAACAAGATAAGATGGCACTTTCACTTTGCCTCTGTGGTTAGACACTCAGAATGCAATGAGGCTGCAGGGATGAGTCAACAGAAGCTCTGTGTGTGTGTGTGTGTGTGTGTGTGTGTGTGTGTGTGTGTCTTCTTTCATTTCTCCGCCTATGAGAATGGGGACCCATGCTAATGCTGCATCCACAGACGGCAGACAGTCAACCCCAAATCAATGAGGATAAAACAGAGTGACGCCGATGGAATTGCAAATCTGGAGGAAGGACAGTTGCAACAAAAAGAGACAAAAGGGGGAAAAGCAGTGAAGAAGAACTGCAGGGAGAAGATGTGATTAGGATGAGGAAGCAGGGCTGGGGGGAGACTTACGGGTCTGAGCGAAGCCACTGAAGAATAATGCCTGTCGTACAGTACAGGATTGAACCTTGTTTCCGTGGTAACCGGCTGAGCAATAGAAGCGGGAAAAAAAGGAGAAAAAAATAGTTATTTCCTTTAGGACACAAAGTAAGACAAGAATACCAGAATGAGTCTCAAATGTCTTTGTTAATTTTCCTACTTGATGTATGTGACTGTATAAGACATCATTGTATTTCCAAAATTGACACCTTCCTTTTCCATTTCAGGATTCAACACCTTTCTTTCTTAAATTAGCTGATCAAAGATTATTTCAAAGCAGCAATATATTGATGCTCAGGATGTACACAGAAGAGAGGACACGGTTGAATAGAGTACCAGTCAAATGTTCGCACACACAAAATATGTCCAAACCTTTGACTGGTCCTGCAAGTGATGTAATAGTTTGTAACAGGGGCTAGTGTTCAAACAATGTTCTTATTGTACTTTGTTTCTCCATTGAAAAGCAATATTAAAAAGACTTATTTTTATATAAACACACACACACGGACCAGTTTTCCTGCCCTTATTCTATGCATGCCAATTTAGTCTTTTTTCATAACCCTAGAAAGAGAATACAGGGCCGTGGGTCCAGTTTGACGATGACCACAAAAGGTTTTACACCATTTTGTGTAGATTAGGAGAAGAAGCTGCCCGCTGGCTTTCTCTTGATGTTTCATCTTTGTTTATCTATTTTTGCTTCTCTTTGTCTATTTGTTGATCAAATCGCTGTACAAATCTCTAATAAATAAGCTAATAATAATAATAATAATAAAGCTCCAGTCATTCACCTTTTAAAAAACTCAAACGTTTGTTGTTAGTGTAATAGGCTACTACGAATCTTGTTTCAAGTCTTATATACATCACTGAATGACATAAAACAATGGTGATTAAGCTCACTTGGGCCCACTGATGAAAGCTCTTGCAGTATTAGAAACTAAACTGCAATATTCCTAAAAAAAAATCATCAGTTAGAGACACATTTTTTGTCTCTCAACTGTGGCCTGTGGGGGTGTGCGAGGCACCACAAAGAGGACGGTTGGTTTTAACAACAATGGTGGCTCCTAAAGAGGTTCTCCCAGCTTCTGCCGTGGCATCAGTCATGTCGATTTACTTTGTGGAAAGAGACTCGCTTACCTCTGCAGTCGGATTTGGTAACCACAAGAATTTCCATTTCCTACACTTTCTGCTCTTTCGGCTGCTACACGCTCCGCCACCTGAGAGGGAGTGCGCACAACGCATTGAAGAACACGATCGTCATTGTAAAAGAATATCCATATGACCAGTGCAGGAGAGGACAAAGGCAGCCCTCAAACATGACGTCACACAACATTGCAACCACCTCTATCCTTGATGTGCACAAAGCAACAGAGAATCCAACATAGTGGGAGCTGACAACCAGGGTACATACCGAGATGGCACTGATGCGACGCGGCTGCGTGCAGACCACACGACACACGGAGCCAACGCCTCTGTTGATGTAGTCATCCAGGATGAACTGGGTAACCTGAGTGGTCTTTCCACACCCAGTTTCCCCGCTCACCACCAGCACACGGTTCGAGTTGATAAGCTCAACCAGCTCCTGGGTACAGAGAGATGGAAGCAGATGAGAGGAAAGACCGGATTTCATTTAGCAGAATGAATAACGATGAGGAAGGAAGTGGAATCAAACACAGACCTCTTTTTTGCCATAAGATGGTAGTTTCTCTCTGAATTTCTGGGGGAAGAATGGGAAAGAAAATTGTTTAGATTCAAGAAAAACATTAAAATGAAGAGCAAACATTCTTTCTTTTTAAAGCTTAGTGATGGGTTCAGTTTCTACTTCCTAAAACATCCCTTACTTAAATCTTACAAACTACATTCTGTACAGTGGTATACGTATAAGTATATACGTATATATAAGTATATATGGTAATAGGTTTACGTATCTGCTATGTAAATTTATTTAAAAAACATTTACCAAAATATTATATATGTGACATTCCCTGTGAGATATTATTCACCATATTTACCACCCACTCTAAATTATAGTCTTAAACTAAACTATTCAGACCCATTAACTGTTGACCTAAAAATCTCAGATCTTGTTGCTGTTTTTGCTTTAGAACCGAAATCTTCCACACAGAAGTAATCAAGTAACTTTTTCAATTGGAGAGTATCCCTTCTATTTAAAATATATAAATTAGGTTGGGCATCAAAACAACAAAGGTCTGGTGCTGTGGACAGGTTGATATTTATAGACACAGATAATCTCTACACTAACATAATGAACTTGATACTAGTGTGTCTGCTCACCAGCATTTCTTTGTACTTGGTATCGGATTTCTTGCTCTGAAGATCTCTCTCTAAGCGTTCATCAAGTGAGTTGTCTCTGGCTACTTCCTGGAATAGGAAATCCAGGTCCTTGTCCTTCCTCCTCAGCATCTCTTTTTCCTCCTTTTCTTGCTGCTCTTCTTCATCCCACGCGTCTGGAGCCTCATCTTTAACAGCTGCACGGGGGAAGTGACTGAATGGAAAAACATTTAAATTGCGTAAATATCCACGTTACGGTGGATCACTACACAATATCAGTTGTTGTGAGATTGCGTCGTGGAGCACCAACTATATTTTTGAGGCGGGGTACCCTTTTTGTTTGCAAAGTTACCGTTGCGATGTCTTCTGGCCTGCTGTAACGTCTTCCTCCTCTTCCTCAGATTTCAACTCAATCTTCTGTTTATCCTCTTCAGACATTTCCCCGTCAAAGTAACTGCATAAAGAAGTTAGAGTGACATTTTATTGGGCACGCCGAAATTACACGGTGCATGTCTCAAACACAATAGCTATATAAACGGTTCTCACCAATGACCGCTGCTTCTTGCAGCCGTAGGCCGGCTGTTAGACGTAGAGGCTCTGATATCGTTGTAATCTCTCCATGGACCAGGGCGATCACTTTGGACAGAGCTGAGCAGCTTGGTAATATGCTGTTCTCTGGCCTCATCCATCTGGACCACCGCCCGCTGCACATGACACGGAAAGGGGAAAGCTTGCAGTTAAACCAGAACAAATCTGTTCATTCAAACCAGTTGTGTACCCCATTTTACTTTATACCATTGAAGAATCCCTCGGATATGTGAACAGTGGCATTTCAGTGGTGACTGACGAATTGTCTGCTCTTTTAGCACCATCCAACTTCTATTCTAACATCTAAGCCATTTACCAAGATACCGTTGGATTGCTGTAATGGTGGAAACCAGTTCCGTCTCCCGCAGACCTTAGATGCCCATTCAAAACCCAGTAAATGAAGTCAACAAATGTCTAATCTGCTCTGATCAAACAACGTGATGCAGTTAAAGTGTAAAATGTGCATATCGTTTAGGCCATTATCTATAACATGGGTCAGGATATAGGTGGCACCTCTCTGCAGGATAATGCCCTAAAACGTGGGTGGATAATACCTGCACACTTTAAACCATCTTCCAATCAAACCAGAATGCGCCACGTTAATGGGTCGGTTAAATCGGGAACCATCACCCGGCTGTCACATAAGGTCCTCAGACGTGTATCTGTGCCGAGGGTCCTCATCCCTCTTTCTAACCCGAGGCCCAACCTGGCGTTCTAATCAAAGCAATGCGCAAGTGCATGAAAACAAACCCAATCCATACCGATCTCCGGTCCCCCTGCTTCCTCCTCACGGCGCCGAACTTCGCGTACCACAGTCCAATCTCACGTCCCTTCAGGTGAGGCGGAGGGCGGTCCAGTCGTTCACCTCCGCCTTGGTCCTTGTCGAAGTCGTTACCGTGTCCACTCGACCCTCCTCCGCCTCTTCTGTCCGATCTTTCTCTGCTTCCATCTCTGTATCCTCGACCTCCTCCTCTGCCTCTTCTCCCTCCTCGACCGCCATATCCAGAACTCATTCCGCTGTCGGAAACAAGCGGCCGCGTCGCCGAATGCTAAAAACCTTCCGTTAATATCCGTTAACCGTTAAGTTTAAGATGACTTGCAACGTTAGCTAGTTAGGTAATGCTAACGTCGCTACACCTTCGTATGCTGCTTGTTCGATTCGGTCTGCATGTCGCACAGAAACGACGTCATCAACGATTTCCAGCTGCCTCATACGGTCGTGGCGCCGCTCTGTGATTGGTTGTTCAAATTGTGGTTTTGGGATGTGGTGGTAACCAATTTCTTTACCATGTTTTTTTAACTTAGCCATGAAACTTTTATGTTAAATTCTCCTCAATCAAAAAAAGCCCATATTGTTATACCCTTTTCTTCAGTTGTTATAGGCTATAACAACAATAGGGTATTTCTCAAAATATTTTGAACTCTTTTTCTTTCTTTGTTCTTTGTCTTTGTGTAGCATGGGTTTTCTATCATGCGTGTTTTTCTGGTGTCTTTTATTATACGGTTGTATTGTTCTGGTTGTTTGACAAAATTATATATATATATATATATATATATATATATATTATATTTATCTATTTACTCACCAGACCCAAACCCAAACCCCTGACATGTCTGCTTACCAAGCGAATCTAATCATTCTTATGTCTATTTTGAACACTTCTATATACAGAACACTGAAGAAGCAAAAATTGGGGGAGAAATAATTCAGGCTCCTAAGGCTCCATAAATCCACACCAGGGAATATACGCTGCCAATGTAACTGCTGTAATGGGGTCATCCTGCTGCTTCGCTCAGCGGAACATCAGGGAATGACGCGTTGTTCGGACCTTAAAGGTTACAGACAAATGAAAATGATCTGCTATGACAGCTAGACTGCTAGAAAGCGTCGAGCTCATGTTTATAAAAAATTAATGAATTAATAAATCAAAAAGACAAACTTTCTTTTTTCTGTTTCAATCTGTGTGTTGATCCGTCATACATTGCTTTCGCGTCTGGCTGTTTTTAAGCTTTGACAGAAATAGATCAGTCTTGTCTTTGAGGAGAAATTAAAAATAAATCAAATGTGATCAGCTAATCTTTGTCTAAATTAGCAGTTGCTCACAGGGTTTCGACTCAGCAGCCAACTCCTTCATCTGTGTCATTATTCTGAAATGTGTGGGCATAATCAATAGCGGGTGAAACGGAATTGAACAAATGACAGATGAAAATGACTGAGTCAGAGAGTAAGCAAGGCAGGAAAATAGTGAGAAACAAAGGCAGGAAGGTGCAGAGCAACATGTTGAGAGTAAAGCTGAGTGTTGGATGAGGGAGAAATAACAGACTTTGTGTTGCGGGGATATGCTGTAACAGTGGACTCTGGGACCCCTCCCCCAACTTCTCTTAATAATCTTGCTGATTCTTCTGCACACCGTGTTTTCATTCCCTGCGGGATACTTGCGATGCATTCATGTTTCATGTTGCATGCTTTTTTTCTCCTCTTCTGGCTCAGACATACAGTGCATTCTCAACAATGCATGCCATTCATTGATGGCACATGTGTTGAGCTGGAGGTCTCAAGCCTGGCCATTGATAACATGTGGATGTAACATCCACACAACACAGCATAATCCCAGGTTGTGAGGGGGAGGGGAAAGTCCTTGGATCAGAGAGAAATGGTAAAACTTTAGCAAGATAGCTGCTGGCATATGCCTTTGATAACTGTGGTTTTAATTACATTAGACTTCTACTTTTAGTATTTGCTACCATGTGCCATTTTTGAAAATCTCTCTTTCTGTCTGACTATTTGCTTTGCTGGATCTCTCCTTTTACACTCCTCTTCCACAAAGAAATATATTCAATTGTGCATTCAACCACTAGATTGACAACATTTATTTGAGCACCCTCCCCACAGAAATATATCATCTTTGGTGCAGAATCTTTGTCTAATGTGCACGTCCCAATCTCTCACAGAAAAAGCAAATTGCAAGTTTATTGATCACAAAGATGCTGTTCGCCTGTCTAAAAGTGAGAATAAGCAGATGATCAAATTACTTCCATTTGGTGAGGCAGGAGAAATTAAGCTTGGCTCAGCCGAAAAGCTTTTGGCACCATTAACAGCTAAAAAGGTTCGACATTGAATATAACTGCATTCAGCACGATTCATACGCCTGTACATTATTTTCGTGTTGCCTGGGATTACTTGACATTGCAATCCAGTTGGAGGCAATTTTCTGGTATGAATCTTTAATGGCATTTCTTCAGGAGGATGGGAAACGCTGCAGTTGATGAAGGGAACTCGCTAAAGGACCATTCCAATGCCTACAAATAAAGTCCCCAAAGGGCTGATGCCGTACTGAAGATCACAAAACCAAATGGCTGAAATATATAAGAAGCCATAGTAAAACAAACCTAAATAAATATATATATTCGTTACCTATAATAACCATGTTACTGCAATTATATACACAGACAAATGTACATGTAAATGTGCATGTACATCAACATTGTTCAGGAAAGAGAATAACGATTTATATGCTTTTGACAGATGTTTGCAGTCAAAGTAACCGTTGCAAAACAGTGCTGAAATAGGCCCTATTCTAATAACATAAATGACTATTGTATTCCAGTCTTCAGTTTATGCAGTTATTCAATAGAAAGGGAGACGCCCAGTGGCTTACTGCTTATATGGGCGGATGGGTACCCAAAGGGGCTGTGAAATGTACATTCATATGCTGCCAGTAAAATATGCACACTGCCGCTCATATATATTGCTCTAAATGTGCATGAGGTGGAAAACTCCTTTCAATAAGTATACCATCGACCTCTTCTTCTGTAATCAACACTCTCCGTCATATCTTCGGCCTCTCCTTTACTTTTTCAGATTTTCAAAATTGATAGTGGTCTCTTTCTCTCATTTGGTAGTGGCAGCGTTAACTCTGGAAATACGCAATAGTCAAAGCAACTGGACACAAAAAGAAACATTACATCGAAAGAAATGTATGTAGAACAAGCAAATTCATATACCGTAAAATGAACATGTGAATGCTTCTGGAAGCTGACATTACAAACCATTACCTTCATACGTCTTCCCCGACACAAAAAATACACAGCTGCAGACACTGGGATGAGTCAGAAACACGGGTCAGGTGACCCCTCCCCCCGCCGCTGAGTCACTGATGACCCAGTGCACAGGAGCCGCTTCATCTTGGACGCGTGACCAGATTTTCTCCCCTCCTCTTCCACGCCTATGTGGATTTCTCTCCTGCTGTATCGAGGTTAGATATGTGACAGGCTGCCATACAGCAAAACCCCATCAAGGAATAAAGATGCTGTGCTGGAATACGGTTTCTGCCTCCTACCACTCCCTGTTCTCTCTCTCTTTCTCTCCCTCTCTCTCATCTCTTTTCCCTTTCAGGCTAATCTTTCTCTATGTATTCTACAGACAGGTTGATGTGTTTGCTCTCACGATGCCGCCTGAAGAGGAAGTTCAAGAGGAGGCAAACAGACGTTCGGATATTTCTATCTGGGTCACCTCCTGGTCCAAGGGGTGGTGATAGGAGAGTGGCGATGTGGAATGATTAGGACATCAGTGTTTCGTCCTGAGAGACAGCCTGACGGCGTCCTGCGTGTACGTCACTCATCCCTCTCCCCAGCTTGCTTTCGGTAGGCCTCGTTTAGCAGCTGTATCTCCTCCCGATACCCCGAGCTCTCCTGCGTCTGCCGCCGGCTGTTCCGCCGATGGGCCTCCACAGTGTCGGGTATGTTGATATTGATGGTCTCCGCCTCTGGGTTGCCACTGCTGGGGATGAGCAGAGAGTAGGAAGCCGTCTCACCCAGGTCACAGGAGACAAAGCGGTTCTCCCTTCTGGAGTAACGAAGCGACGGCGAGCGGGTGTGAGCGGAGGACTGACTGATGTTGGAGATGATGGAGACACTGTCCATAGCCTCTTCGTTGTCACAGATCTCCAGAACCTCAAGGTGAATCTTGACGTTGGTGTCCCCCACGCCGGCTCCTATACCCATCCCCATTCCGATCTCCGTGGCCATCCCTACGCTGCTGACGTCCTCGTCTCCAGCCTGGCCTTTGGGTGCCTGGTCGTCTGCTCTGGGTTCGTGGCCAACTGATTTCGAGCGATACACTTCAATCTTTGAAGAAGAAGAATATTTTAAAGTTCAAGTTAATTGAAAAAACAGTGTGGGGTTACAATGCAATTCATCATTGATTCCATTTTTTTCTCAAACTGAAATATTGACCATTTTCCAACATCTTGGATTGCAGTATATACAAGTGTTATTTCACTTACTGTCTAATTTCCTAAGTTCCTAAGTTTCCTCCCACAGATTTCTTACATGGCTGTTGAATGTATCTCCAAACTACATACTATTGCCCTCATATGACAACTGAACTAACAAATGAACTAATTCATTTTTGACAGTAATTGATCAAAATTGAAGACTAGTTAACTAGAAGTTAAGGGAATTTGGGGACACTTTTTTAGTTAAGAGTAAGATGATTGAAATCACATATCTATGAAACAGAGAGTTTTCAAAGTCAAAACATGCAACAAAAATGTGACCCTAAATGTGCTATAATAGACTGCACCGGGAGCCATTACCTTCTTTGCGTTTTTGGGGGAGATTTTGAGTCCGTCACTGCTGACTTCATAGGTGGAGAGCGAGAGGGTTTTCCCCGTGGGTGCTTGCAGAGATACGGTGCCCTGAAATGCGCACAGGGGGATTGACAGACCACCTGATGACCGCTGCGTGGGAAGATCAAAGTGAAGAGCAGCTTCAGTCAACATCCAGCGTAACATTTCTATTTACAGTATGTATTTACCATGGCAAGCAGTCTCACTTCTTTAACATGCAAATCACAAAATGTCATTTGGCTGCTCATCATGTTATTGAGGGAAAAGTATAATGGTCCTTTTACATCTTGTTCCCTTTGTTTAAACTAATTGCAGTCGAACATTGTGGATGATGTCGGCTTGTCATGGACAAGGAGATAAACGTGTTGACCAACCATTTCTATCCCGAGAGTTAATGAGGCTTAGACAGAGCAGCCATGTCAACAGCACACCGGTTACATGAGAATTACGGCTCCGTGACATAAGCAACCAGAGGCCGTGTAGATTTACAGCAAAAAAAGGTCTGTATCAGCTCTGAGATCAGAAATGTTTATATGAACTGCTCGTTTATATCACTTCCATTTTTAATCAAATTTCATTCATATTTGATTATTATTTTCCGGGATACAAATTCCTCAAACAGTACATCATAGTAAGCCTCTGTCAACATAATGTGTTGGAGAAAATACATATTGCTGGCGTGTGGAAGGAGAAGTATCCTGGGGTTTGATAGTGGGAGGATGTGGCATGTTTCATTAAGCAGCCCAAATTATTCAGATTAGTTCAATGCAATGATCTGATTCTGACTATGACGCACAAGCAAAAACAAAAACGGTTTCATCCTGTCCTCCCGGACTCTGTCTGTTTCCCGGTCATTGTCTTTGCATCATTGTGACGGGAGAAAGACAGATGTTGAGAGAGGGAGAGAAAGAGAAAGAGAGGCTCAATACCACTTTGTGCTGAACAAATATAAAAAAAGTCAATTAATGCTTACAGAAAGGGGAAGTGCATGTGTGACGTTTGTGTGTGTGTGTGTGTGTGTGTGTGTGTGTATGTGTGTGTGTGTGTGTGATCTGGGTGTATTAACATGATCCCACAATCAGACAATATGAAGTACACTTTTATGGTGAAGACTGAAATGTTGTACCGTCCTGTTCCTCTCCGGGTGAAGTTTAATAACGTTTGTGATCCCACATTCATCCAGCACCTTAATCCTCTCCAATTCTACATGTGTGATAAAAAATACTAAGGCCATTCCCATCAGTCTGTTTGATGTAAGCATGCCAAAACACTAAAGGAAGATGATGTACCTGGTAAATTCTGAAACAGGACATTATCATTGTGAGCAGGTTAAATTTAGCATTCAGTTCAAAGCACTATCTGCCTAAATGTATTCTAGTAGAGCTGCTCTGGACGCCCTTTGTGCCTACGTTTTGACACATGAATAACGTAAGTATAAACACACCAGCTTTTTACATATGCAACATTGTCAAATATCTGGCATACAGATCCTGGAGTCTAATTGATTCTTGTCTGATCCTTTTTTGTTTTACTGTCCATTCCATAGGCCCTTTTCTTCCCTCTCCACCTTGAAGCTTATTGGTGGGAACAATATTAATTCACAGTTTTGGATGTGCACTCAGAAGGTTAAACAGGTTTCAGGTCCCTACATTTCAATGTACATTAGATCTTTGTTTCCCCTCTGGGAGAGGGCACCCCCCCCCTCCCCCCCAGTATGTGCTTGCCACAGAGACAATCAAGTCACAGAGAGAGAGGGTAAATAGGCCTAATTCTTCCTCCCCCTATGGATGCTTAAGGCCAGAAGGGCTGGCAGTAAGCAGGATGGACGCTGGGTAATGACATCTAGCCCGCTAACGAGCAACAAGCCAGGACGTGTTGTAAATCCCGATCTATTCTTCCTGTTCTTTGCCATTGTGTGTCCATGCTCTATGTGTATACATCTTTTTTTTGTGATTTGTGTCTTATAGGACTGTGTTTCGCAAGCGGAGGTTGCTGGATCTATGTGGCTTTGTTTAGCTTCTTTGCCTTTTTATATAGTGTGTGGCTACACATACACAATGTATTTCAGAATTCTGTGTATACTGACCCAAATGAATGAATAATTCCGAAGGGAGCATAACATAGAGTTTACTACTTAGCAACGGAGATGTAGGCAATGCACGCACACAAGCAAGCCGTCAGCCTCTCACTCATACATGATGCAAAACGAGTGCCAAAGCCAAACTGTATATTCACACATCGTGGATACTCTACCCGTGGTGATTTTGCAGCCAAAATATTTTAGGCCTATAAATAGGGCAGAGACGGAGAAGAAAAGAGACACAAAGAGTGAAAGTATTCACATGTACCGCCTGAACATGTCCCAGTTACTTTTTTTAAAGCGATAATAGTTGTTGCTATAAAAATCCCTATTACGATGCTTTAATACTATTTAAAAAGTGACCATCTGTGTCTGCAGTCTACAATCAACGACCCCTTTCATTTGGGCCAACAAAGTGTGAGAGCATTAAGCTTCCGCTATTAAAAGAGCACATGATGTAAACTAAAAAGAAAGAGGTGGATTTGTAATGGATTAGTGGATAGTGGATCATCTGCTGGTAAGGAAAGACTCTTGAGGGAATGATACCTGTGTACATTATCAGGACTTTGAGAAACGGACACTTCTGCATAGATGCAGCTGCGATACGCAGCTTGTGATTCATTCAACTAAACCATTTAATTCTCAATCAAAGCTACACAGCCTCAAGAAACCGCAAGTTTAAATCAATTAACTAAGTGGAGCCTTGAGTGACCTAATTTTAGAATGGCACAGCAGCCATATATAAAATAGTATTAAATGATATATATTCAAACAGATAAAGAACACCAAATGGAAAGTCACACATACATTCAGACGGTTAAAATGTGCAAACAAAAACCTGGTTATGTAAAGACTGCATCTTCCAACAGCCTTGTGTCTCTGTTTCTCTGTATATTTGCACTGCAATAACACAAAACGTAATATCCCCTTCCAGTAAAATGTAAACACAGATATAGATATTGAACAAATCCAGCCATGCTAATCCCTCCTAAACGATCTCTAGAGCACATCGCCATATGTTTCATGCTAGTTGATCGACTATTTTAGGAAAGCAATATAGCGTGAGTGTGGGAAATCAATAACTGCCGGTCTCGAACCACAGAATGGTTAATTAATGTTTCAACGTGAGACTAATTGACTGACGGCTCTCGACATTGGTTTACCTGTCTTGGTGTCCTCTCTGATTTACTCCTGCACCACTCCCAGTCTGTCAGCTCGATTTTCCGACACTCCTCATGTGACAGCCTCCTCTCCGCGCCCTCGAACACGGACGACGCATCAGTGAGGTTGTGACCCTGCTCCCGGTGTTGGGAAGGGGGCGAAGAGACACCCCGGAAGTCCTCATCGTCTTCTCGGCTCTCGTTCAGCACCTCTCCTCCACCGGCCGCCGCTTCCAAAGATAGGTCTGCGTGAGAGGAGCTGTCCACAAAGCAGGTGGTTCTGAAACCAAAACCGGGCCCCAGGCTGGAGAGCCGGACACTTTCTAGTGCATCCAGGCCGGTGGTAGGGAAGTCACAGTTAAAGAGGCTGTGGTATGCCGGCTTCTCAAGGGGCGGACTGAGATGAGACACGGTGGCATGTGACAGCTTGTACACTCCGTAGCCTTGTTGGAGGGAAAGGTTGAACTCAAATCTTCTCTTCATCGCTGTTGAAAAAGGCATTGAGAATATTTTCTTTACGCCCTTTAACATTTTCCTTCATATAACAATGGGAAACTTGATGAAACAGGATTGAGGATAATTCATTGGTTAATTTTGATAGCTGACTTTTTTACCTGGGGGTTGCTGCGTTGGGTTCTGTTTGCAGTTAATGAAGCAGCCACATGGCATGTGGATCCAGCGCTCAGACAGCACAAATAAGGGAGTGACCATAGGGGCAAGCAGAGTGAGAAAGAAACTCAGCGTCTGCAGGGCGTCGCTACGTGAATTCACTGTGTGGCTTAACAGCACCAAAGTCTGTGAATGAAGAGGAAAGGGCAGATTAATTCACTGAGGGATCCGTGATTCAATATGCATGAGGAATGGTGGAGATAGAGACACAAGAATAAATATTAAATGCTGCCCTTCAGGTGTTGACTAAAACCAGCCAAATACTGTTGTCAAGGCAATATATCATTTAATTTAATGGGATATTTGCTGAACCAAAATCATTGCTGACTGTTTTTTAAAATCGCAACTTTAATGAGACCTCAAACAATGACAGAAGGGTCTAACTGCTTTCAAAGCCTAATACAATGTAGTAGTCTTCAAGGGACGTGGTGGATGTTTTAATGGGTTTAACAAAACAACTGACAATAGTATTTATTTATTTTGCATCAGGGTGATTAAAGTTCCAATCGCTTGGTACTTGTACATACACAAAACTCTACCAGGCCCATAGTATATATGCACAAATTCAAAAACAAATGGTGAATTGGACATGTGAGGCGTCTTTGGCAGTCTTATCACGTGGCACATGAGCACTTCTCTTACGTCTCTTGTTGCCTATAGGAACAATTACAAAAAAATGCATGTTGACCTATAAAGAGAATAGTTCTGCTGTCATTCCCCATGAAGAACCTAAAAGGTGTGTGAGTTTAACTGGTATAAACAGAAGGTTTCGGTTGACGTGATTTTATTGTAAAATTAAATATATAATACGGTTTCACTTGTTTGGTTAGTAGTTTGGATTGTCTTTTAGTGCAAAATGAGGACCACCATTTCAAGTTATAGAAAAATAAGATATCACCAGAAACATGAGTAATTTGAAGTGAATTATGCTTCTTACAAAACTGCTGCTCACCATCATCGGCATCCATAAAACAACTCGGACGACCGCCAGGATCATGGAGAAGCGCTTTTGTGCAAACACAACTGGTGTGTCCCCGACAGCTCCTGTCCTCTGTCCACAGACAGACACCGGGGACACCCTGCTGGCCTCCTTCTCCCTTAGCTCTGTCCCGCACGAACTTGGGCTCAGCTCGTTGTACGCACCGAAACTGTTGTTCGGGCTGTCCCGGGAAAAGGACGGAAGATCACAGAGGGGCGCGGAGCCACTCAGCCCCCTCGCCATATCCAAGTAGCCGGGGTACAGCAAAGTCCTCTGGGGCTCCCTGGAGCACAGCAGCGGGTAGGTCAGGGAGACAAAGAAGAACAACAAGCCGCAGAAACAGAGCGAATATAAAGAGAAAAGCAGCAGGGTGTAAAAACTATCGCTCTCGGGGAAACACCCGAGCGAGACCGGCTGAAAGCGGCCCCATCCGCACAGAGGCAACGCGCTGACGGCGAGGCTGACCGCCCACACACCGGCGATGGCCCACATCGCTTCCAGGGGCCGGCGGACGGATTGAAGAACTCCAAATCTCTTGGTGACATAAAAAGTGTAGGCCGCTAAGAGGCAACCCTTCATATTGCTGGAAACGCCTTGGAACACGTACAGAAGTCCGGAAAAAGTGCAAAGACTGCCCGACCCTCGATCTCCGGCCGTCTCCCACTGAAGGAGCATGAACAGGGTTAGAGGGACCACGCTCAGCAGGTCGTCCACCGACATGGAAGCGACAATAAGACACAGGGAGGTTTTTCTCCTCATCCGGAGGAGAGAGAGCAGCGAATATCCGCCGCCAACAAACGTGGCAGCGGCGAAGATTACGCACACGCCGAAAATCACCAGGCGGATTTGCCTCTTCGCCTCTGAGGGGACGTCAGTCTTCTCGTAAGTGGCCGTGGAAAGGTCGCTTTGGTTGGGCGACGATGAGCTAATCTGCGTCGTAGACATTTTTCAATGAATTAACTTCTCTGTTCCCTTTGGCACATTTAGTTTGGTCGAATCGGACTCGTTATCCGGTGGAGTTTAACTCGCTGCAAAGATGTCGGGATACCCCAACCTGCACCGCATCTTTAACAAAACAAAAAAAATCACACCGTTAAGATGGGGAGAGATGCATTGGTCTCACGTCCTACTCCGATCCAACAACCGGGGACGCGTGCGTAATCACAGCTCTCCGATGCCTCGCCGTTCAAACCGCGTAACGAGGGCACCTCTCGTTTCCAGCAGCCGATGTACGCGCTGTCGTCATCAGATTTTCCTCCCACGACATACATTTGGGGCTGGGCCAAACGCTGCCTACTACTACTACTACATTTACTGTTGAGGACTGCTCTCATGCACCAGGCGGCGTTTTGCGGCTTGCCTCGTTCTGTGCTCCCTCCCTCCCTTATAATTTTATTTGCTGTTTTTAATTGTCTTTTAATTCCTGCATTTTATTTCACTTTATTTTATGAAATGTTATAATGTGAAGCACTTTGAGTCTGCCTTGTGTATGAAAAGTGTTATACAAATAAAATGGCCTTGCCTTGCCTAAACCAGACTGAACACAAAGTAAGGCCAGTTTGCTTTGAGTGCATGTTTCCCCCGTGCAGCCAAGATGAATGTCCAAGGCAATGAAATACTTTAAAGTCACCATCAAAATGGACATATTGAAAAACATTTTCATCTTAAAAAATTAAGTGTAATTAATGATAACATTGTAGATCAAAACAGCAGGACAGGTTCATTAGTTACAACATTAAAGCAGGATCAAGAGACACTAAAGTCCTGTTGCTGTGCAGAGGCAGATTTTTTGTGAAAGTAGAAAATGTGTTTTTACCGTGAATCCTCTGCGTGGTGAGTTGGCCTTCTCTCATCATTCCTGGTGGCATTCAAGGATTTTCAGGACGAAGGACTTTGTTTAGAAGGTTCATGGGTGTCCTTGAGGTGCTTCATAGAGATTTATCGTGCTCTATTCATAAGGGTACATTTTTTTGACATGTTTTGGCTCTTTATGTAAATAAAGAAACATGGATCTGCATGATGGCAGCCTATGTGTATTTACAACCCTCCATCATATGCTCATTCTGAGCATTATACACTGTCAAGAATTGCCTTGGATTTACAGTGGATTTCAAACAATATCTTACAATTTTTAATAAGAACTGTAACACACCGTTACATGTTCATCCTTTGCATGTAAATGGCAATACAGACTACTGTAATTTAACAGCATAATACAGTATTTTCTGTAAAGTAGTGAATATATGCTTTTCAAGTTCTGTAAGTCACAATCAATCTGTATCATCTTTTGTAGGTGCATGTCTCTGTAATGAGAATATTTTTATTATTCAAATGATTTAAAATGTATTATCCTGAGCTTAACGTTGGAGCTCACAGCTTCAGTTCATCTTTCTGATGAGGAGATCAACCGAGTTAAAGTTGCACTTATCACCCCAAGTCTCACAAACAGTAGGCCTACATGTCAAAATAATCTTTCTCATTGAATTGAATAAGAAAATGTGTCCCAACTTTTGACTGGTACTATATTGTTTCCTCTTCATGATCATTGAACAGTTCGCGTGATGTTTCATTTGGTTTGCATATCACGTGATGTTTTTAATATTGGCGGAGAAAACTCTGAAATGTAAGCTAGCTAACGCTCAGTTAGCCTTAGCACGGTTAGCTAGCAGACAGCATAGCCACTAAAGCTTAATCAGCTAATTACCAATAACAAATGTAATACGACACGTTAGATAACATAACTTGCGTTTACTTGTGCTATTACAGAATTTCAGAACCACACCTTTATTGTAAGGGAGAGGGGAGCACATATATGCAGTAAGGCCGAGATCCTCCTTGTGGCAGTGGCAAGTGGGTGGCATCAAACTTGAGAGCCCCACCCCCTACACGGAACCCGCCGGTCCAAACCTAAAATTAGCCTCTGTAATAAGAAGACGGGGGCTCACGTGTCTCAAATAAAATTAAATAAAATCAAATAAAATTAAATATTTACAGCAGCTGACCTGTCGTACAAATAACAGTGGTTTCTGGGAAAAATTGGCTCCTCCCACCCAGCGTGCCGTCGTGACGCCGACTGATTTACTGGCGATTGCCGCTGCCTGTCACAAAGTTGCCACCCACTTGCCACTGCCACAAGGAGGATCTCGCTGTCACTCCATATATGTGTTAAAAACAATGAACAATTGAGGTAAAGCCAACAGTGGCAATATCCATGGCGTTTTAGCCCCTTGCACTAACAAGCTTCGTGAGGCACAGGAACTCGTTGCACATCCACTGCTTCCTTTAAATGTGTCTATCCTGGATGTCATAGAACTTTTCTTTTTTTCTTTTTGTGTTTGTTTTGCAGTCACTCGTCATCCGAGATTGAGGTCACCAGCCAGATGCTGCAGTCAAGACCCCTTTTGACTACAACTTGGTATGACACACTTTAATAAGATAAAATATGATGCAGGTTTAAGTGTTTCACTGTTTATACTCGATCTATTCAGTGTTGAAGGTCATGCATGAGTTATCCAAGCACCCAGTACATTGTGCATTTTGTGATGTTATACAAATATCCATTTTTTATTTGTCTTGATGGCAATCAATTTGTATTCTTGTCTTTATTTCTGGTAATTAAATTTAAAACCTCTGCAGGTTGTATCACCCTTGCTACTATAATCCTGTTATCCACATACAGTTAGCATGTTCCAACATACTAATGTAATTGCATTTGCTATGGGATTTGCAGCAATCTAATGCCTACACTCTAGGGCCATGGGGACACCGAGTGGAACATAAGAGGACAAAACACAATCAACAAGGCTTAATAGACATACACAGATACACAAGCTGAGCTCAGCAACGCGGCCGCAAGGTGACCTACTTTGTGTGTTTATGCATACTGCATGCAATGTGTGCATGAAAAGGCACAAGGTGAGGTTGCAACTACAAAGTTTTAACAGATAATTTCATTGGTGAGGATTAGTGTAAGTGTAATGGAACGGAATTTGTTGGAGAATAGGAATTTCTTAAATATTCTCTCAAAACACCTTGCATTATTTCTTCATGGAGGAAATACTGCTTAAAAGGCGCACGCGTCTCTGAAAAATATTTACAATATGAGAAATTCATTTTAAACGCAGTATGGATAAATATGTATGCTATCTCAAATAACTATATTTATCCATACGCAGATTGAAACACATCCAGATGTTACTGCCTGCTGATACATGATTCTCCAATGAGGAGAAAAGTTTGTCGAGTCCTTTGTAGAGACTTATGGTAAAATCTGAAACCATTAAATGAGGCCTCTTATAACAAATATTGGTCTTGTTTTAACACGCAAAGTGCTAAAACCTGAGATTTTCATTTTTTATTGCAGCATCTAATCAAATACATATTTAATTGAATGCCTCAATCTGAACCATGAAATGGAAGCGGCTAATCAATGATATCAATAAAGGACATATGTCCAATGTATGTCCCCGATATGTTGTGTAAATAAATACCATTTTAATGAATTAATAACGTACTCAGTTGTACACATGCTCACAAATCAAATTGCCATTTCTCTGTCGCTTAGTAGCCTCTGGTGGTTCATCCTAAATTCAGCATTCGGTTTGAATCGTAGAACTGCTGCAGTGTCTCCTCCCTCTCTCTGCCACCAAAGACGAAACCACCCACACACGAAAACGCACCGACACACACGCACACACACTCACACACAGCGTGCACACAAACAGCCTGTGCACACAGCGTCTAAGTGCATCATTATCCCAAGACACATCAAATATTAATGAAGTAGCACTTGACACACAGATACATTCAGAAAAGAATAGAAAATGGTATTTACATAAAAGAGAAAAATAAACCTGAATGAGGACAGGAAGATGATTGCTGCTGTGAATTCATAATGTGTCAACCCTGAACTCTTTTTGGGTTACAGCATGAAAAAGTTAGTTGAGTGCTTTTCAATCAATTTTGAGAACTAAAATATTCTCTGTGCATTCAGGGGAAAAGAGAGCTTGCTACTAAGCAGTATCACTGAATCAAAGGACTGCGACATGAGAAAGGGAAGTCTTGTTTACCGAAATCACAGAAAAACATCACTTAACTCTGAAGGTGGAAATTTAGAATCTCATCTAGCTGGATCAAGTCATATTTTGTGTGAGTGGAGAGAAACCAAAATAGACCTAAAATGAGAGTATTGGACTTAAATTCATTAGGAGAATACAAACATCACAATTTAATCTAAAGGTAATGGACATGGGGGTGTCTGACGTTTTGTTATGATGTCTTCTGCCTCCTAGTGGCAGATTCAATTTCCTATATTGTCAAGATAAAATGAACTCTTAGAGACAAAGACTGCAAATTATTTTGTGTATCATATTTTTGTGTATATTTGGTATTACATACATTTTCTTTTGGAAAAGTTACTTATTCTTAATCTCTTGAAGAACTCAAATATTTAAAATATATTGAAATGAATGGAAGTGAATTTGAAATATAAATGAGTTGTGCCCAGCTAAATTACCTTTCAGTCTCTATTTGCTTTGCAAATGTAGGCCCCCGCCTTTTTCCATTTTGTTGTGTGTGTTTGTGTGTCCAAAAATATGCATGCACCTGTACACTTTGTACCCGGTGACTAGAGGGTGTACGCACATGTGTCTGTACGCACATTAAGATCGGCAATCTATAATACACGAGGCAGTGTGTTTGAAGACCATACTTACCCGCTCGAACATGTTTCCACTACTTGTCGATTGATTTATCAAACAATAATAAAAAATGAACATGAAAAAATAAACAAGCCAAGCCATCTTTTGCCCTCTACTCTCTCTCTCGCTCACGCACACTTATTAAGCTTATATTTGCATCAATACTAATTGACTGTGTTTGAATTTTAATTATATACCCTTTTTCAAAAAGGTGGCTCGAGGGACTAACAATGCTCTATTAGCAGGTTAAGAGAAGGTGACAGCCTCATCAGTGAACTGCACTGTGAATCACACGTCTCTTGGTAACAATAATTTCTACGTGAGATGAATGAGGAAATATCCAAAAGTAACCATAGAAACAAAAATTCCTGGCTTAGCTAACAAAAATACGTGTCAAATATATTACAATTTAACCGAGGTGAACAACATTACTTCAAATGTTTTCCAAAAAGATTCAGTTTGACTCCGATCTGTTTGGACAGTACACTTGATTTGTCAATGTCAGAGTTGTTGTTTCAGATTCATGAATGAGGAAAGTGTGTTTTGTGTCCCATCAATCACGCTGTTGATTTGTCCACCAGATGGACCTGTTGCGCTGAGGGAAATCTGGCCTGCGTGATGGACCGGAGTCAAACACAGGAAGCATATAACAATATTGCCTCAAGCCAGAACAGCTAATTGACAATCAGAACCAGA